GGTCAAACCGTTGTTGTCTATCAGTCATATAATGGTCCACCTCAAAGTCAAAATTAAACATGATCGTAAATTTAAGTACACATTGATGGCCTAAGACACGAAATGAGCGGTTTGTGTGGGAAAATGAACAGTATTTATATTGTTTTTACGTCTTGAAACACAGCCATGTCCAAGTGATCTGAGAGCGCGGGCGCTTTGTGCCTGTGGTTACAAATGTAAAAAATATATAAATACTGTTCATTTCCTCCCACAAACCGCTCATTTCTTGTCTTAGGCCATCAATGTGTACTTACATTTACGAGTCATTAAATCATGTTTAATTTGGACTTCTTTGTGCATGCTCTTTTAGGTGGACCCCATAGGTTTCCATTATATGACTGACAGACAAGAACGGTTTGACCTAAAAATATCAAAATTGAAAAATACTGTGGAAACAAAGACACCTACATCTTGGATGCCCTTGAGGTAAGCCAAAGTGAACTCCTTTAACCAAGTCTCCAAATGTAGGCTGATCCAATCCTACACCCTCATGTTGTTCTAACCCTGCTTGCTAAATGCAGAAAATTCACATGAACTAAGGCAGACATGCTACAAAAAGGACAACAAAAAGAGTACAGTAGCCAATTATGACCAGTATTCAAAGTTTTCTGAAGTCATTCTCGATTTGTGTGAAAAACAGGCCAAAAGTTGTTCATTGATAATCTTCTCCATCACTGGTTACTGCACAGTGTTCATTCGAACCCATTAGAAAATGGAAGGGAAGAAAATGAGGGTGAGTAAACGATGACGATTAATAAATGCATTCAATTTTGACAAACTGCTTTGGGAAAACCTCAACCTCAGTCTCGGTGAAAAGACTTGAAGAGGATAGAAAGAAGAACAGGAGTGGAATCCTCTTCCAGAGTCTACCTTTCTTTTTGTTGAATTCATCTTCTTGATCATCCGATTCCTCCGTGTGATAGTTCATCAGCTCCTCCTGGTAGATCTCGGCATAATCCACCTGTTTGACCTTTGACTTCTTCCCCTTCTTCGCTTTCTTGTCCTCGTCGCTGTCGGAACCTTTCTTTTTCTTTTTATCTTTTTTCTTCTTCTTCTTATCCTCCTCTTCCTCCTCCTGCACGGCGTCCTCATCCTCCTCTTCCTCGGCTGACTTCTTCTTTTTCTTGCCGTCTTTGCTCTTTTTCTCCTTGGACCCCATGTCGTCTTGTCCTTCTTTGCTCTCGGACGCTTTGCGCTTCTTTTTCTTCTCTTTCCTTACCTCTTTTCCGTCCCGTTCCTCGCTTGAGGATTTCCCTTTGGTCTGTTTCTCTTTGCCGATGGGCTCATTGTTGTTCTGCTCGTCTGTCCCGTTGTCATTCTCTGTCACCTCAACATCTTCCCTTTTCTTCCTTTTCTTTTTCTCTTTTACAGAGTCACTCTTTTTTCTCTTCTCCTTTTCTGTAAGTGTCTCAGTGCTCTTCTGTCTCGTCTTCGCGTCCCTCTTACTCTTTCCTTTCACTGTTGGCTCCTTCTCCTCTCCTTCGTCATCTCTTTCTTCGGTTTCTGTTGGTTTTTTCTCTTTTGTGGGCATCTTTTATTCATCCAGAGTGTGGCGGGGTGAGGGTGAGTGTTTCCTCGCCGTCTGCGGTGTAAGGTGTCGCCGTCTGACCCGTGCAGGCCGATGGGCCCCTGCGTGCAGCTGGAGCGGGGCCTCAGCTCGGAGCCGGAGGCTCTCTCGCGCAGGTCCTGGGGTGCGGTGAGGAGCTCATGAATAATTACTGGTCGCAGAGTGGTCACATGATCTGTGAGAGAAAGCAAATGAAAACGGAGAGGACAGCGAAAGAGAGGGGGGTTGGGCCTTATAATGTTCATTATTCATGGTCCTGGGATCGCTTTACGATAGCGCACACTAACTTATATGGTTTTTATGTTTATAAAAAATACATCAACTCAAAATGCACATTGTACATTTCAAATGCACATCAACAGAAAAAGGACACAGAGAGAAAAAAAAAGGAAGATTATTACAAAGACAGACAGACAGAGAGAGAGAGAGAGAGAGAAAAAAGATACACCAGTAGAGAGGGAGTATTACAGAACAGATAATTAAAGACGCTTCACTAACACTTGTAAATAATTAACAGTGATTTCATTAACACAGATAAATAAGTTATTGCCACTGGATTAACGTGGTCAAACTATTTAACATGCTTTACCCAACCTAGGCAATAAAGAAGATCGGGCTCCTAATTTAGGCAAATTGCCGTCTGACTGAAAGTGGAAGAAGTCGCTCTAAAACACTTGCGTGTGTGTAGCTACATAAGAAAATGAGAATAAACAATAGCTTATAAACACTTTTTACATTTTCTTGACTGTACAAACCTTGCCTTCACGATGTTGTTAGTGTCATTGCATTCATATGACATTGCTAAAGTGTTGTGTTGGTTTGAGATGTTCGGGTTAGTCGTCAAGTCGTTTTTCGATTTGACAACTAATCAAAATAGCCGACCCTAAAACTTTAGGGATTAACAGTAAAGTTTGTTTCTTCTGGCCAAATCCCAAAAATGTATTTAAAAATATATATTAAAATTTGATTCATATGCATAATTTAAAATTAATTATATTAAAATAAAATAAAAAAAATACTTGTATGTGTGCAAAATGTAATTATAATTTTAGACGCATACATTTTTTCAACAAATGTTCACTTTAGTGTTTAAAGAAAAAAAATAAGCAGAAATAGCTGGAGATTTTACCGACAGAATGTAACTTTCCATCTTATTCTTATGGTACCAAATCAATCACAATTCATTTAACAATCACATCACAAGCAGTTATATAGGTATTCACACACACACACACACACACAAACAAATAGCAATCATCAAATGTCAGGAAACCAAGCCATAAACATAAAAAAGCCTACAAAACAAACGTAAGATGTGTGACAGTGAATGCAGAACTGGTCTAGAAAGACCAATACATCACACGTTATTATAGGCTAATACACATAATGCTTAAAACCAATGCTAATTCTGGTGCAAGTAGATTGCTAATGTATATGTGTATGGATTATCTTTGTTGATTCTGAAGAATTTGAACCCATTTGAAAACCTTCTAACTCCTGCCATTAACTTATTACAAACACCTGATACTGCTTTCATCTGATAAACACACACACACACAACCTCACAACAGCTCATTTACACATGCACTGTATCTCTCGCATACACGGTTTTATATCTCCCTCTCTCAAATTACCTCAACAAGGATGTTGCGTGTGTGTGTGTGTGTGTGTGTGTGTGTGTGCGTGTGTGTGTGTGTGTGTGTGTGTGTGTGTTTTAGCCGGATTTGCTATCTTTGTGTGTAGGACGTTTCTCTTGTCCTAACCATTTACCACAATAAAAACATATTAATGCCATATTATTGAAGCCATATTAATTTTAAAGAAAATAACTCACACAATTTCTTTCCTTTGGAACAACAGTTTGCTCATGTAGAAATATGTTGTGGGCACAAACACTTTTACCAGCAGCAGCACTGACATGACCAGGACCAGCAGAGGGCGATATGACAGACAGAGCGCTCCCATGATGCACAGTCCACACACACACACACGCACACACACACCCACCATATGTTAAATTATTCACTCTTCACTAAACAGTCTGTTGTAAAGACAACAAATGGGTCAGCTAACCAGCTAATATACTTACATCTGACCCTCTTGTTGTCGGTGTTTGTGTCTGTCCAGTCCGCTTTGTAATAATCCGGATCAAGTTGTTCATTAAAGAGAACCGACTCAAAAGAACGATTCGTTTTCTGATCCAGTTTTCTGAATTCTTTGAGAGTGAATAATGCATTTAAATTTTTCGGTGGACTCTTCTTGCTGAGAAAGAAAATATTTTGAGTTTAATATTTAAATAAATATGTAAATATATTTAAATATTTAAAAATATTTAAATATGTGTTTAGAATAAATCCACTGTCCATGAGTATACATTTCAAAAATATATTATATTTACACTTAAATTATTCGATTTTACTATTTTACATTATAATTAAACTTGTATAAATCCATATATCCAGATTGAAAAAAACTCAGTACCCTAGAGTTTAACACTTTATAGGCTAGGTTTCATTTGTTAACATTAGCCTACTAGTCTATATTAGTAGACATGATCTAATAATGAACAATACAAGAAATTTCTTCATTTAGCCAAGATTACATTATGCTTACATTTACTGAAACATTTTAATGTCAAATGTCGTATCTGTTAACATTAGTTAATGCATTGTGAAACAACAAGGACATACATTTTTATGAGCTAAACCTGTTTATAAAGGCTGTAAACCATATAGTTCATGTTAGTTGATTCAATGTTCACAAATGAATTTGTTTGTCAAATTCTACATCATGGTTGATAAGGGTTTGAATTATTAATAACAAAGCACCCCATCAGTATTTTCAAATTATTTTATTAATCGTTCAAGGGCATTTTTCATTAGAAAACATATTCTATTTCCTCTGAGTTTCTCCAGGTAATCTCTTTTTTCAGATTTCAAAAGTCATTTTTATTTCTTACTTCATTTATGTCTGGTTGATTAAAATTTCTTACGTTTTTAGGCAAAATTTTGTAGAACTCCTTGTAAGGACAGTGAGGACATCACAGAATTAAAAAGAAGTGTGTAGAATTGTTTTGATAATGTAAAAAATGATGGGAAGGTTATGAGTAGGGTCAAGGGGACAGAATATACAGCAGCTTGTACAATAAAAAAATCATTATGTCAATGGAAAGTCTCCATAAAACATGAAAACAGGGGTAAATGATGAGAACTCCAGAGAAATCAAACTATGTTTGTCTGATTAACACTGATTAACCTCTGAAACTGATAAATTATTAACTACTGGATCAACATCTGACACCAACTCTGTGATATCTGAGAGAGAGAGAGAGAGAGAGAGAGAGAGAGAGAGAGAGAGAGAGAGAGAGTGAGTGAAAAAACACCACAGAACTAACTTTAAAGAGAAGCAGATCTGTGTACTTTATTGGCTTGACAAACAACTGTACATGTGTTACCAAAACAATAATAGGTTAACTGACAAAAAAAAACAAAAAAACAATGCATGATAAATATGAAAAAAATGCATAAAAAGTAATAACAGAATAATATTGTGCAGTTTAAGAACTTCTTAAAGACATATTTATCTATCTATCTATCACCACATAGATAGATAGATAAATATGTCTTTAAGATGTCTTCAAATTTCATGAAAAACAAAATCTCAAATCGCAAATATTAAAAAGTTGATTTCTTGGTAAAGTGATAAGGTCACACTGTTATCACAATATCATATATGAAAGAAACAAAGTATATAAAGTTCAGCATTATGAACAAGATCAGTCGATTTAAAAGACGCTAAAACCTCAATCACTGATCGTGAGAGAGAGAGAGGGAACCAACGGACTATAAAACATTCCTCAACATAAACAACTGTGTTGGATTTGATTACACAAAGTGTTACTTCATTTGTAAATTATCATACATCTTCAGAACCTATGCGTTAAACATGTACAAGCATTCACCATTATACATAAAAGTTTCAGCTGAAATGTTCAACTTCATGCCAAACTTTCTGCACTGACGTGGTTATTAATGAATGTTAAACTTGCTCTTAAAACAGTGCTATTGTTATAAAGGGCTCAATGTGCCTTAAACCGGTAAAACGTGCCACGATCTCAGCCAATTTGAATATATCTTATGTTTAATATACAACTGAGTGGACTGGGATTTTGGACCAATGAGATTCCAGAGTGGGCAGGGCTACCGTAGAAATAAAATGTTCTGTTTTACATCATTTGTCGCTATTGAGAATGAGGAGTTGACGTCATTTTACAGTGCCCCTCCCCTTTCCGCCATGTTGGTAGGATTCCCACGACGAAACAGTATTGATTACGTGTGTTTTTAGCTCGGTAGTAAAGGAGTTTCTCGCAATACCGCACTGTTTTACCATGCCTGGAAGTAACTGCTGCGTTAAAAACCGATAAAAACCCTGGTAACCGATAGCGTCACCTACCATCATGGCCGACCGGCTCAGACCCCGCCCAAGGCACGTGACTCCTCATTCTCAATTGTGTTTGGCGCATGAAGTCTCCTCACGAAGTTAAGAACATGATATCTGCTCACAAATACGACACAACTACAGAAAACCACCGAACAGGAAACACGAACCACTTTGCAACCGTCCCGACATGATTTTGTAAAAACACGTAATAAAACGGCTGGCCTTTAAGGCAGCGATTTGCACACACGCAAGTACACATGCGTAAGTCGAAGTTCCGTAGCGCCAGTAAACGGGAGGAGCTCTGCAAAACGAACCAATCAGATCGCACCGACCCTCATCCTCTTCACCTGCAGGGCCCCGTGTGCACGTGCAAGATGCCGCGAGCGTGCATGTGCATGAAGTTGAAAATCTCGTTCGGCATGGCGTGGAACCCGGGGCGGGGCTTGACGTTGTCATAGTAATGGTGTGTTATGAAGATCCCGGAGGGGTTCATAGGAAACGCCCAGAAGCCGTAGAGGTGAACTTCTTCGCATAACTCCATGGCCGCGGTGACGAGCATCAGGCCGCTGCTCAGGCGCTTGGCTCGTACGCCCTGCACGCCCCAGAAGCGCTGCACGTTCAGCAGGTACTGCGGGTGGAAGAAGAACACGCCGCGGGTGGACTGGAAGTCGTCCAGCATGTACTTCACACGGAATGACACGTCGGTGTTCCGCGTGTTGTAAAACGCCGGCAAAACCACCGAAGAGTTCTCGTAATTCCGGAGAACGTCGTAAAATGGCTTCCTCCATTTCTCCAACTTTTGAAACCTGGTGCAAATAGAGAGAGAGAATTAGTGTGCGATATTTGTGTGTGCAAACTGATTTTTTTTTTTTTTCCATAAAGTATAGTTATAGCACACATTTCTTAGAAGGACCTGCTGAGAATATATCTAGATTATATTTGTGTATACACTCACCTGAAGGATTATTAGGAACACCATACTAATACTGTGTTTGACCCCCTTTCGCCTTCAGAACTGCCTTAATTCTACGTGTCATTGATTCAACAAGGTGCTGAAAGCATTCTTTAGAAATGTTGGCCCATATTGATAGGATAGCATCTTGCAGTTGATGGAGATTTGTGGGATGCACATCCCGGGCACAAAGCTCCCGTTCCACCACATCCCAAAGATGCTCTATTGGGTTGAGATCTGGTGACTGTGGGGGCCATTTGAGTACAGTGAACTCATTGTCATGTTCAAGAAACCAATTTGAAATGATTCAAGCTTTGTGACATGGTGCATTATCCTGCTGGAAGTAGCCATCAGAGGATGGGGACATGGTGGCCATAAAGGGATGGACATGGTCAGAAACAATGCTCAGGTAGGCTGTGGCATGTAAACGATGCCCAATTGATACTAAAGTGTGCCAAGAAAACATCCCCCACACCATTACACCACCACCAGCAGCCTGCACAGTGGTAACAAGGCATGATGGATCCATGTTCTCATTCTGTTTACCCCAAATTCTGACTCTACCATCTGAATGACTCAACAGAAATCGAGACTCATTAGACCAGGCAACATTTTTCCAGTCTTCAACTGTCCAATTTTGGTGCGCTCTTGCAAATTGTAGCCTTTTTTTCCTATTTGTAGTGTAGATGAGTGGTACCCGGTGGGGTCTTCTGCTGTTGTAGCCCATCCGCCTCAAGGTTGTGCGTGTTGTGGCTTCATAAATGCTTTGCTGCATACCTCGGTTGTAACGAGTGGTTATTTCAGCCAAAGTTACTCTTCTATCAGCTTGAATCAGTCGGCCCATTCTCCTCTGACCTCTAGCATCAACAAGGCATTTTGGCCCACAGGACTGCCGTATACTGATGTCACTTCCACGCTGGAATTGCCCATTTTTAAAGAATTTATCCTTAACTAGATTTGTGGTGTAGGTCTACGTATTTTATAATGTTAACTTAAAATAATACTATAATAATTTAAAGATGTAGTAGCATTAGATCTGGACGGGAAGGATAACTCTGGGAGTTGGAAGGGGTGTGTCGTGATTTTGCCTTCTCACAAATATTTCTGTTTCATTTCGCATGTCAGACAGCCATCATTTCTACTAAAGAAAATGACAAAAGTAACGCACAGTAAATTGGATAAGTCACTTTAATCTGATGTCTGGATTGGAAATAGTAACGGGTTAGATTACTTGTTACTGAAAAAAGTGTTCAGACTTGAGTAACGCGTTACCGGCATCAATTGTATTTTATGTACAAGAGTTTGTTTAGTTTATTTGGGTTGGGGTGCCGTGGAAAAAAGAAAACTACAAAGGGGTGCCCTGCTTTCAAAAAGTTTGGGAACCACTGGATTAGATAATTGTATTACTGAGAAATTGAACAGGTGTTCCTAAAAATCCTTTAGGTGAGTTTATATATATACTACTAAGATACTAAGATTTCTGTGATATTCTTTTCGTGATAACAAATATTATCTCCAAACTCATTATGATGCTAAAATATATATATAAATTATTTCAGTTGTAAAGTATTAATATTCATCATCGTAATACTTGTTGTGCTGTCTTTTTATAAAACGATTCCAGTAAAAAATATTACATAAAAGTAACAACAATCATCAGTATTAATGAGGTTAATAAATAAAAATGTAAAAATTATCAAAGTAAAAACCCCAGACATATTACTGTGATGATAAATGGGATAAATAATGCCTACAATCAATAATAATAATGATCTGATTTTAAGTATTAAGTATCAGTGTGTGTATCATTACCAAAACAAGCTTTGTTTTCTTTATGCAATACACACTGGAATTTATCATGTAATATTTAATCCTATTTATAACATAATATTCACTCTTATATTAAATGTATGTGTACATTTTAAGTACGACTAATAACGGGATCACATTCAGTAGATGTGTTTGTGCGTGTGTGCAGTGTCTACCTCTCAGTTATGATGCTGGGATTTATTGTTACAAGATCAGTCTTAGATCCCACATCTTGACTGTAAACATCTGAGATGGGAGGAATATTACATCTGGAAGAGAGATTGAACGAGATGATCTCTAAATATTAAACGTAAACAAACGCACACATACACACACAGCGCTTCTGCATTTTACCGGAAGACAAAGTCAGCAGCATCAATCTCTCGTCCACACTTGCTGCTTTTGATGATGCCGCCGTTCCCGATGACAGCACATTTCTTAAACTGGGATTTGGAATAGGGCATGTCCTGCAGTCAGAGCAGAGAATACATTCAGAAACAGGACAGGAGGAACCGAAATGGGATTACAGGGATGATTGATTGGAGATGGTTGCTTGGCAACTGTTGCAGGCATTGAGTTTCTAGGGTGTGATCACTGCAGAAGTTGCTAGGTAACGCTTGCCGTGATAGTTAAAGATGTTTGATTCGTAATGTTAGGCAGGGTGTGGCGGCTTCACACAGAAGATTCAACTGAAGAAAAAAATGACATCTGTGTGTGCAAAAAGATCTCATGTGTGCAAATATATAACATCTTCTGCACCTCTGGTAATACAGTCGGAATCCGTGTTAAAGAATCCTAATTGATTCGCATAATATGAATCTTATGTGAATCAGATTTTGTCATTCTGATTTGATTCTTCTTTGTGCAACTTGGTAACACTTAAAGCTTTTATAGAAGTATTTGAATGAAGTAGGCTACTGCATGCCTTTTAATGAACCTTATAATGCATTGCCTCATTAATAACTGTAAGCACAGTTATAATGCATTATAATGCGCATCTATGCAATGCATTAAAACACATAACAAACAACTATTTTCAGATGTAATAAGGATAATACAAATGCAATGCATTTAAACTAGGTTACACTTATATCTGAAAATATATAAAGCATTATAACATATTATGAATACGTCAAGTTCTATTTTTTAGGGGTAATGTCTTGCTTAGGAAATAGTTCTGGAATTCTGGAAATAGTTAAATTCCATTAGAGTTTCTTTTCTTTTTGATGTCCATTTTATCCTCTTTGGAACTCTAAACTATCGGAATCTAATATGAGAATTCCAATTAGGAATGGTTCTAAATGATGATGAAATCCGAAAGGAATCATTAGTTAAAGGCATAGTTCACTTTGAAATTAATTTTTGGTATGTTTTAGCTTATTTCAAGGGCATCCAAGATGTACAGTAGGTGTCTTTGTTTCCACAGTATTTTCAATTTTGATATTTTTAGGTCAAACCGTTTGTGTCTGTCAGTCATATGATGGAGACCTATGGTCACCACCTCAAAAAGCATGCGCAGAGAAGTCAAAATTAAACATGATTTAATGACTCGTAAATTTAAGTACAAAGTGATGGCCTAAGGCACGAAACGAGCGGTTTGTGTGAGAAAACGAACAGTATTTATATAGTTTTTACCACAGTGTCCAAGTGATCTGAGGGCGTGGGCGCTTTGCGGCTGTGGTTACCAGAGGTATAAATACTGTTCGTTTTCTCACACAAACCGCTCGTTTCGTGTCTTAGGCCATCAATGTGTACTTACATTTACGAGTCATTAAATCATGTTTAATTTGGACTTCTCTGTGCATGCTCTTTGAGGTGGACCCCATAGACCTCCATTATATGACTGATAGACACAAACGGTTTGACCTAAAAATATCAAAATTGAAAATACTGTGGAAACAAAGACACCTACATCTTGGATGCACTTGAGGTAAGCTAAAACATATCAAAAAATAATTTCAAAGTGAACTATCCCTTTAATTCTTCTCTTCCAAGCTCATGTCAAAAACAAGCACTTTGAAGATGATTTAACTCTACGCTCACTCACATCAGGGAGCATTTTAAAAATCTCCGGGCTGATGTGCAAGATTCCACTGGTATCCACCTCGTAACGCAGTTTAGTGCCCGAGGGAGTGTTTCTCTTCGTGGTAAACAGGAAGGAGGGGGCATTGCAGCAACGGGACAGAGACATTCTATTGGACAGGGGGAGAGATGACATCATCATCACTTCATTACAACAAAAGAATCCAATTGGACATCAAGAGAGATGACATCATTCCTTTGACAGAGAAGCCCCATTGAGACTGTGTTGAAGTAGTGGGATAGAAGAAAACAGTGGACGTGTGCTTGTGGGACTCACTTGAAATGATCCGACTCTTCTTTGTTTTGCTCCCACTTACACGCCTGCAGGTTCCTCCATCGCTCAAACAGCTCTGATGTCTTCACCCTAAAACACACGCACACGTAAAGTCAAGCGCATACAGCGATTAGCACAAGTGCGGTTTCCTTAAGAATCACTACTAAAGAAAGGAAAGGAAGCGGCGCTCTTGCTCAGATATTATATGTCTTTAAATAGATGCTCTTTTTACAAGGTCTGTCCTTTGAGATGAGACATTCATCAGGATATCTGACTCCCGCTGGACTGCTTACTCTCTACGTACATTCATCTGAGAGAGAAACGTACATGGTCAGTACTTTCACATCTGTGATTTCTTGCCGTAGTTCCTTGCAGGAAGTGGAGTTGAACTCCAAAGAGCCATCGGAGCGTTCCAGATACCTGCCAGAAAACAGAGAGTCAAACACTCGGCACACACTGCCCTGGGCTTCCAGACTAACTGAAGATCCTTGTTGCACGTTTGCATTTCTACAGTCTTGCCAAACAATCCTGAGGGAATGCCAATGGATTTCTATCATAGCTTGGAACCAATCCTAACAGAATCAAATATGAATCCTACATTTTCTTTATTTACATCGCATTTGTGTTGCAATTAATAGGATAGTCCACTTTGAAATTAATTTTTGATATGTTTTATCTTACCTCGAGGGCACCCAAGATGTAGGTGCCTTTGTTTCCGCAGTAGTTTCAATTTTGATATATTTTAGGTCAAACCGTTCTTGTCTGTCAGTCATATGATGCATGTCTATGGTCACCACCTCAAAGAGCATGCACAGAGAAGTCCAAATTAAACATGATTTAATGACTCGTAAATGTAAGTACACATTGATGGCCTAAGACACGAAACGAGCGGTTTGTGTGAGAAAACGAACAGTATTTATATCGCTTTTAAGCTAAAACATACCTTTAAAGGAAAAGTTCGCCCAAAAAGTACAATTCTGTCCTTGATTACACACGCTCATGTCGTTCCTGCTTATGTTTAAACATTTTTATTTACAGAAACTAGGAGTGGCAATTGAAATAGTTCAATTAAATATATACGTATTAGTCTAGTATCAAATTATTCAATTATGTAATTCCAGAGGTTTCAATAACTAAATGATCTTCAGCGTTTACACCTTTTATGAAATTATGAAAATATATATATATATATATATATATAAAATTTAGAACTTGACATGATTAGAAATGAATTTATAAAATTGTATTAAAGTTTTCAGGTTCCATTTTTTTTAATTTTCCCTATATCCAAAATATGTTAATTATTTAAAAAAAACTAAAACAACAACAACAGTGAAACGTTTAATTGTATATGTATGTAGTGTATGTCCATAATTTTTCTGGGTCTTGTTTGTTCCCATTTGGATTGGTTCCAAATTATAACAGGAATTCCAAAGCCTTGAGGATTCTTCAACTTTGAAGACACATTCCTTCTGATTTGCAAGACACATTCAGCTTAAAATGGTCTTTTCTGATGTTCTGAGGAGAAATATAAAAGAAATAACAGTTTCACCACAATGAGAAGAGGTAGCAGGGTTTGGATGGATGAAATATGAGTCCTCACCTTGGTTGTGAAACAGAAATACAGAAAAATATGCATTAAAAAAACATGGCCTAAATGAATTAACTGTAAAATACAGTTTGTGGAGAAGTGTTTTTCTCATGTCTCTGTTTACCATTTTTATTCTTGGCTCAGACATGGCGTCTATGAAAACATCCTCAGTGCTTTGAGTTTCCATTTGAATGGGCTTTAAATGGACTGTAATGTGGATGGACGGCCTGAGCAGAGCACACACTGATATTGAAAATAAAATCAGAGCCAAATGGCGGCTAACTGTCTTTGTAGAAGCCAAAGGCTTTTAACAGGTATGTTAAAGCCTACAAACACTAAAGCATTTTTTTAAATATATTTGCTTAGTTACATAATAACATGTTCCAAATGATACATTCCATGTAACCATATGACTATATAACAGAAAAATAAATAATAATAATAAATATTATCAATACTAATAATAATTTTAGAATTACATTACTATTGCAATAATAATACTGCACTGTAAAATTAAAAGCTGAGTATTTAATAATAAGTATATCATTATTATTATTATTCAAAATTTAATTGTTTTAATACTATTTTATTCTATTACTATTGCTTTACATATTTTCATTGTATTTTTATTTAAATTGTATCTTATTCATATTCTTCTTCTTAGTAATAATAAATTAAATGCTGTTTAGTGGTTTACATTCCAACACTACTTTGAATAATTAAAGTAATGGTTTGTAATGAAGAGGAATGACAAAATAGCAAAGAGAGAAATAAAGTGAAAGAGCAATGGAAGGCAAGGCAGAAGAAAAAGAAACACATTTAGCGATTCCATACATCTCTGACTGGAGTGACGTCATGACATGTGACTGTGCTGTAGCCTGAAGAGGTGCACACTGGGTAATCATATGTGTGATCAGTCAACACCCTCGATGACACATTACAATCTTCTGTGATCATTTTGATGAAAAGAAAAACCGTTAAAAAAAAACAAAACCCTATTTGTTTAGGTCAAAAAGAGGCGGTGCAATGAGCAAGCGGGAATCAAGTCACATGACACACACACTCACACTCCACTACACAAGCCGTTTGCGTGCACACACACACTCAAGTGTGCTCATGTCACACACAGGTGAGGTGTGGGGGGAGGGGTTAAGAAATGCATGATGGGACACAGAAACAGGGACCCATGACATCCAGAACACAAGGAGGGTCTCCCAACCTCAGGTAGAGTGGAAGGGGGTGATGGGGTCAGAGGTCAAGGGCGGATGGAGAGTTGCAGACAACATGCAGAAACGGACCGGCGGTGTGCCGAGCACTGAGCATGAGCAGTCGGACCCTCGATGGAAAAGAGGACGAAGAAGAGACATCCTCGAGGGTTGGCAAGGAGGTGAACTGGAGATGCCATCAGTCTGGCCTACCTTTTCTTTTCTTTTTTTTTCTTCTGCAAATCAGCTAGGCAGGGCGTGAAAACTACGGAGATCTGAGCCTCAGAGTGCTGAAAACTCTGACGGACACATCTGTCGAGATGCATACAAGTGGATTAGGTTTAGAGTTTAAACGTGTGGTTCAATGACCCTTCAGTTCCTGAAAACCACAAAAGAGCACAACAGCAGGGTTCCCCGGTACACATCCCATCCGTTTTCTCCACAGAGCAATCAGCACTTCAGTATAGCGGGGCTAAAGGCACATCTTGAGGAAAGTCTGCTTTTCACTTTGTGGTTGCAGAAAAAAAAAAGATGTGTTTTTTTTATTGAAAATTGATGCAGAATAGGTTTTGTGTGAGTAATATTTCATAAAATAGTGAGGTGGCAAGGTGGACCTTTCACCCAGCACAGGGAAAAAGCCACATGTTATACCACTGTAAAAAAAAAAAATAATAATAATAATAATTTCTTTTGTCAAATCAACTTAAATAATTTGCGTAGTTCCGATAACAAAATATTTTGAGTTTCTGATGATTAAATCAATCTCCTTCATTGTTTTAACGCATTTTTTTTTTCATTTCAATGAACTTAAAATTTACGGCAACCAGGTTACTTCATTTTTTAAGTTAAACCAACAATATTTTTTTTACAGAGTAGCTCAAATAATATAGTTTTAAGTTCATATTTGTTCAATATGCTCACTTTATCAATGTTTACTATTTTAGTACTCATTTTTGTTAAATAAATACACTCTCATTAAAATATGTTCATTTTAAAAGGACAGAAACAAAATTATTTTTCTAAAGTAAAGATTATGAAAACATTGAAAGAGATAAATTAATAAATTAATATAAATTAAAAAAATAGATAAATGAATATAAAAAAATGTATTACTTTTTATTATGGATTCATCATAAATATTTCGTTTTGGAATATTAACTCTAAGGTGGACACCACAACTTAATATCTGATATTTCCCATCTGAATCTAACCATGCCATGTCAACAAATGGAAAAGTCAGCCAGATATTTATTATCATATTGATTTTTGGCACAGGAGTATTCTAAATGCCATACTTTTACATATTCATTCGTTATTGTAAAACTGTTGCTTTAATTACCTTCAACAAAACTGAAAATCATTAAGATGATGTTTGTCTCAAAATATATTCAATAAATTTGCTACATACTTAGAATTAGATAGTGTTTTAATATATATAGTGTGTTTTAAAAGAGAATCAAGGTAAATGCGCCTTTTACCCCAGGTGCGGCTTTAGCCCCATTATAATACTATAAATAACACCACCCTGCATCATATTTACTTAATGAAACCCAATACTTGTTTCTTGCTAATTTTGCTGATTTAAAGAATAGTGCCTGTTTTGTTTTCTCACAAAATGTTTGACAATATTTTATGCATAATCCATGATTTCAAGTTTACATTTATGGCTAGTGACGGAAGAAACTGCTATCTGGGAACGTTTTACTCCCAACAGTGACAGATTGTGTGGGGAAAAAAAACTCTGAAATACTGGGTTTCTGCAGGTTTCATGAAGGTACATTTAAGACCTTTTTAAGACCTTTCTAAGACCAAGTAAAGAATTGAAGGGAACTCAATACACCAGTGCGTTCTCTAAATGTAATGTCTACATTCACATGAAATGTCTAATACAACTTGCAACAGATATCCATAACTTTTTAATTCATTTTTAAGCAAAAAAAGGTTTCAATCGCTTCAATTTTGTCTTGTTTTCCAGTGCAAATGTCTAAAAGTTCTTAAATCAACATATTTACTTAATACAAAGTCTTGTTTTCTGCGAAACTGATAAAAATGAAACGAGTTTATGATTGAAACAAGAACAAATATCTGCCAATGGGCTCAGGAATATAAACTCAATTCAAGGGGACGTTTTCATAACTCACCGACAAATAATTGTTCTTGTTCTCTAAACTCATATCATTCTTCAAGACCTCATTTGACATTTATATTGGAGAACAGGACAGAATACTGAGGAAGATATTTTTTGCGACATTTAATGCCATGATGTTATGAATTTAAGGCTTTCCCCTTTAAAACCTTTGTTAGGCCTTAATTTGTGTAAGAGCGAAAAAAGACTTTAAGACCTTTTTAAGACCCACAGAAACCCATTAAAACCACACCTTTGACATTGAACTGCCTTTGTTAATTTCATAAGTGTATAAAAGCTTATACAAAAATCTTCATTCATATTTTGTGAGAAATTTTAATTTTTTGAACTTAGCATCATCAAATTAGGTAATAATATTCCGTTTTTTGCAAATCAGCTAAAAAAAATCAAGATGCAGGGCTGTGTAGCATTTATGTCATATATAATAATACATCATTTAATAAATATGTTTAATAACTGTGTGTTGCATTCACTAAAATTACTTACTTTTGGTAAATTGGTTTTTATTGTACAATAATCGGATTATCTACAATTTTTGCAATGCTTTATGGGATGAGCAGTCAATTCCCATTTAAGTGCAGTGTCTTTGTTCAGATCTTTCGACATGCAAATAATTTGCACTATACAATAAAAACAAACTGCATGGAATAATGTTTCCCACAATGCAATGTGCCCAACATTTCCCCTCCCAGTGTGATGAATAAACCAGTAAGTAAAAAATAATTACAGCTGAGATGTTTTACAAAGTGTAGCATGCTACTGTTTGAAGTGTGTATTATGACATAATACAAACGATTTCAATTACTATTTTAAAGGGATAGTTCACTTGTATGAGTTTCTTTCTTCTGCTGAACACAAAGGAAGATATTTTAAAGAATGTCGGTAACCTAATAGTTAACAGGACCCATTGACTTCCATATAGGAAAATATAATACTATGGAAGTCAATGGGGCCCAACGACTGTTGGTTACTGACGTTCTTCAAAATATTTACGTTTGTGTTCAGCAGAAGAAAGAAACTCATACAGGTTTGAAACACCTTGAGGGCGAGTATATGATGACAGAATTTCATTTTGAAGTGAACTATCCCTTTAACAAAAATATCGCTAGTATACAGTGAAAGTTAGTATAAAGTTAGTATCCCATTGTGAAAAAAAACCACAGACCGTTGTCTATTTTTTCTTGGATGTTCAAAGTTATGAGGTTGCGATTCATTTCACAGGTTGGTTTGGAGAAAGCGAATGGGACAAATACTTCCTGAAGCGATTACTGCTGTGCTTGGAAAAATCTAAAAGTGAAACTCTAATTAGTCCTGGTCCTCTGATTGGCTCTGATAATCGTTTTAGCTGCCACAGCTCATCTGATTGGCTGATGGGATTAGATGTGTCTCCAGTTCATACATGCAAGCGGCTGATCATTGGCTGTGTGGCATTCTCTCTCGTTTCTCTCTCTATCACTTTCTCTCTCTCTCTCTCTCTCTCTCTCTCTCTCTCACTGTCTCTCTAGAGTGTTGGTGTTGTTGTTGAGAGGTTTCTGTGCGGTTTTGTACCTTTTCCTCCCATTTCTGGCCGGCTTCATCCCTCCATCATCGGGGTAACTAATGAGCCCGCTCCAGTTGCCCACCTCCTCTCCTTTGAGGCGGGAAAACTGTTGCCCACTAGTGAAAAAATGAGGCAGGTCGTTTAAGGTTTCATTTATTTGTTCAAGGCAGCAAATAAATGTCAAAAACACACAGATTTGTATAAGATTTGAGTTCTTTCATTGATGGCTTATTTAAGTATGTACAACTTTGCGTATGCTGTTCCTGAAAATCGTCCAGATCAGACAAGTGACATGACAAAGATGCAGACCAGAACAGCCTTTCACATCCAGGAAATCAAAAGTCTTTACATTTACAGAAATATCATCATTATCAGCTGCAGTCCGCACAGTGACGACAAAAGTGTTTACCGGGTGTGTAACGATAAACTAAAACTAAACTCGTGAAACTATACATCAAACTCAAACATTAACCTATGGACTGTCAGATCAGCACAGTCTTATCCCAAGACGTCATATAACTGACGTCTTGGGACGTCTTTTGACCATACGTCAACTTTTAGGATACCCTTAAACGTCGGTTAGATGACGTTATCGGATCCTAACCCTAACCCCAGACCTAAACTTACCCCTAAACCTACCCCGTCACCTAACTGACGTTAAAGGTAAAGCGTCAGTTGTATGACGTCATGTTCGTCATGCACCCGACGTTTAAGGGTACCCTAAAAAGGCGGATGTTGACGTGTGGTCAAAAGACGTCCCAAGACATAAGTTATATGACTTCTTGGGATGAGACTGTGTTAGTCAGATGCGTGTTTGTTCGGTAATTTTTGACCCAAATATTTTACTTTTGTCTTTTTTTTCTTTCTTTTTTTTTTTTGGAATGGTCTGAAAATTGGTAAAGGTTTTGGCACTTGCTGCCAAACACACACACACACACACACACAAATCATGGAAATGATTTGGAAATGTTAAATGGTCCTGAAAAAAATCACACTTGTATGGTTTGTACTTCATACAACACACTTGTATTGAAAATGAATGGGATACGAATTTCAACTAGTGGAAACATTTAGTACTGCGCACAAAAAAACTCGTTTTTTGAGACAGCAGCCTATAATTTGAAAAAACGCTTGTTTAGATATATGAAATTATACAGTAAAATGTATTTTGCTAAATACATATTTCATATTAAATTTTTAATTGGTATTTTTACATTTTTCATAACATTAAATTAAAAAAAATGTAAACAAAAAAACAAGTTCACTTTTTAAAACTTGTTTTTCTGCCATGTGTCGTCTTTAAAAAAGAGACCAAACTGAAGTCTGCGCTCAAAAGCATTTGAGATTTAGGACCATTTAATTTGGAAAAATCATTTTCAGGTCCATGCTCAAAAAGAAAAAAAAAACAAAACAATAAATGGATTACAACTGACGTAAAATTTAGTACCATAAAATCCTATAAAAACACAAAATATTAAACAAAAAAACATTCTCGATGGGCATTTTTGTGTACCGTTACACCCCTAGTATTTTAGACTATTGAATCTACAAAATCTGCACTAGTTTTTCTATATAAAAAATGTTATTAATTTTTTTTATGTAAATGCTATTAATTATTAATTAATTAACATTTAGTAGCCTACTTGCCCTTGCTTTCCTTAAAAAAAGGTAATTTGGTTTGTTATTATCTAATCCAAAGACATTCAGACATTTTTAAGTGAGATTTATTGAAAAAAGCAAAAGTGTTGATACCTTCTCTCTGTTACAAACATCACAATAAATCCAGGAAAACACTGAATCCTTTTATCTGAACCGAAGACATGAATTACCATTCAAAAGTTTGGGGTCGATAACACTTTTACATGTTTTTGAAAGTTCAAAATCAAGGCTGCATTTATTTGATGAAGAATGAAGATGAATATAAAGTTAAAAAGTACAGCATTGAAATAGAGTGTTTTGTAACATTATCAATGTCTTTACTATCACTTTCGATCAATTGAATGCATCCTTGCTGAATAAAATAATCAATTTCTTTCAAAAACAAGAAAATCTTACTGACCACAAACCTTTGAATGGTATTTGATGTATAATATTTAAAACTGAGGACAGATGTTGCAAATCTTCACCCAGCACACAGTCTTATTTTGCACATTTCTGGATATTAATCTTACTGGATTATTTTGGCTTCAACGCTTTATTATGGATTAAAACACTGGTAAACAAAGAGAGAGAGAGAGAGAGATCAGAAAGACATATGCTGGGTAAGAAGAAAAGAAATAGTCCTTGTCATTTACAGGAGAGAAAGACATTGCTTGTAAAATCATAATAAAAACGAAATTATGTATCTAGGATTATTTGTTCAAATGTGAATGTATTAGATTTTTTTTTTACTAAACCAACCAGTCAGTTTCATAAAGACAGCATTTGTCATCGAACAACATGATGTCATCTCTCTCTTTTTATACATTATTGTCCCTGAAGAGAAAGTACACTAGTTTCAAATTCGCATATTAGCCGACATGCACATCTACATCCTGAAAGAATCAGTTTAATGTGGACATCAGCTCTTCGAATTCCTGTAAACACTGTGACCACGATGAGAAATGCAATCTCAGCTGCTAATGTGAAGAGCAGAGAGAGAGAGAGAGAGAGAGAGAGGAGGATATGAAGGATGCTATTCTGCAGACGAGTGGATAAGGTAACAGCTGAAGATGTACGGTGGCTAAATGTCAATACTTTTTCTGCACTTAGCAAATCAATATCTCCAGGACAAGGGGGAATTGCCTGGCACAGGACTACAGACCTGACCCTAAAAGTAGCACCAGTGTAACAGAGGCTAAGTAATAAAATAACCTTGTTTCAATAGATTCATATGCATAAACGTCTAAATACAGCAATCGCTGTTCTTGCCCTGGCCAGCTCAATGCGATTTTATCTTTAGCTGTAACTCCGCGCACACCTCTCAACATGACAGCTTTAAGAATGACTGCAATGGCATTAGAAGGCCAACTCCACCATAAAGTGCTTTCAATAATTGCCATATAATTTAACCTGGCAGAAGCTTTTAAGAGGACGTTTTATTCAGTGGCTTTATTCAGTTCTCTGGATGCATTATTAATGCATGCGTTTGTCAGTGTCTCCACAGCGGCAGAACGGCCGACGCGTACCTGAGAGCAGCAGTCTGAGAGCTGCGTTTGTCACTGCTTTAATGCTGAGCTGTAAATATCAAAATAACTTCACTGTCACATGCTCTCACATATGCTGCAGTGCATAAACAAGCTTCCAGAGAGCAGGAGACTTAAAGGTGCAGTAAGTGATTTCTGAGGAACACGGTTGACGTTTGAAATCACCACATCAAACATGACCAAAAGGATCACACCGCTGTCTTGATAGCTCCACCCCCAATTTCACAAACAGCTATGCACAGGCACCTCCCCCTAATGAGTGGACACACCCCTTACTCCTGATTGGCTACAAGTGTGTTTTGGTGCTCTGTCTGATCCACTTTCAACAGCATTTCTCAGAAATCACTGCACCTTTGATGGTGATATTTTGACATTTTCTGAAGAAAATGTGTATGTGGTGCTCAGAGTTGGGCAAAATGAAAAATGGCTAGTAATACTGGTAGACTTATTCTTACATTACATTAAAAATACTTTTAGAATCAATATTTATAAAGGCACAATTGAAAAAACATGATGATCATGATGAGTTCATTCGGATCCAGACTGAGTCAAACCGCTATCTCTTGAGTCCTTTGAATGATTCATGAAAAGATCCGACTGTAAGGGCGTATGCCGTATGGCTGCATACAAAATGGCTTCTCTTGTGAGTAGGTACTTATTTAACTTACATTAACTTATATTTAGGTATTTTGTAACTGCTAAAAACCATTAACTTTACTTAATGCCTTAACTTAATTGTAAAAATGTAGTAATCTGAACTATTCACAAAAGCCTTTGTTACTAAAGCCCGGAACACACCAAGCCGATGGTCGGCCGACTAAGTTTCCTCGGTATGTTCCGCACGGTTCTGTGCCGTTGACTGAAAATAGTCCTCGTCGACTTTGTTTCGCCCGGTTCGACATGTTGGGCCGTCAGGGAACGAAAGATCTATGATTGGCTGTTCAGCTTAGTGAAAGAGTCGGTGCACTAGAATAGAAGCAAAACAGCAAGCAAAGAAGTCAAAACGGTACAGATAGAAGGCTGTTCTTATGTTACGTCATCTTACATGAGTTTTCCTTGGCGAATATTTCAATATTAACATGAGCGGAGTGGAATAAAGAAAGTGTTTAGCAGGATTGATATTTAAAACGGTTAGCACGTGCTGCTTTGTTTACGTTATGTGTATCTGCAGCCGGCAGCGTCGGTTTTCCTTTTTGAATGACGAATATAGACTAATATATCTGCAGAAATAGAGAGTTGCCTCATTACTCGCAGGCACAGAACGCACATTCTAGCTGACAGTCAGCTACAGTTCTCTCGGTGTGTTCAAGTACAGCTTTTTACCCTGACGAGAGCAGACGAGAGGCGACGACAACTCAGTCGGCTTTCATCAGCGCTAGTTCATCGGCGTTGGCTTGGTGTGTTCCGGGCTTTAGACAACCCAAGATTAATTGGTTGGTTTGAGTACCAAAAAGTCTTTGAGCAATGGCAATTCTTAAAGGGACAATGTGTACTTTTTTATGTATTTTACAATTTAAAATCAATATTTTTATTCATAAATATGTCCTCAATGGTGTACGAAATACGAATACCTCTGCCAATTATCTGACTTATCCTCATAAACTAAGAATTTATTATCTTTATATACATGGGACGGGTAAGTCCACGAAGGCTTCCATGTAGTTCCGCCATCTTGAAAAACTATAATAGCAGAGAGGGGAAAAAAAGTGCTAGGCCAACGAGTTTCCACAGCGCGTTTTCGTTCAGAGCCAGCGTGACGTGACTGAAAGCAGCAGAAGCGGAGGAGGAGAGCAGCGAGATGGCTTCATGGCTCCGGCAAGTTTAAAAGGCTGCATTGCAAATCCTCGTCGCCAGAAAAGTCCAAAATAGATTGTAAAAGGAAACGTGACCGGAGATTACAAAACACACAAGTTAATGTCGGGATAGCTTTTTTCCAGGTGGATCGAGCTAATGCAGGAGATTTCAAAAGAGACGATGAAGTCCTGCTTTCTTCTCGACAGGTAAGTCAACGTTACAGTCTCCACATTGCCACCTAGCCGCCTGGAGTGCATACTACATTGAATTTCACACACTTTTGCTTCACCATGTGCACGTGGATTTCACGCTCGTCTAAACGCAGAATAAAAAGTGATAACGCAACGCCACGTTTTCTCTTAAACATAGCCTTAAATGTTGAATTGTCAATACAACTGAAAATTCTGAGAGAAGAACATATAAGATCATAAATTGATGTTGATTTCCTAAAACGGTTTTGTTAGTGTTCCCTTCGGTTGGGCACTTGGAACTTCATTTGAATATAATTCCCTTTCTGATGAAGGTGATGCAACAAGAAATCACAGTTATTAGTGGTTTCAAAGCAATAGAAGTAATAAATATATTACTTTACAAAGGTGACCTTCTACTAGATCATTACCCAGTTTACTTTTAATGTAGAATTATGATATGTTAATTGAATTGCTAACACTTACTGTATGTCATAAACGCCTTGATAAAATCCCCATAGTTGTGGCAATATCTTGCAATTGACCTTGCTTTTGAGTCACACAGACATCAACATTCAGCATTCAAAACTAATCAATGTTAACAATTACATTTTATTTTGTTTTTGTTTTATTTTTACGTTTCCACAGCTGAGAGAGTGATGGTAAATTCATCTCTCCTCTGACTGCTGTGATCAATCTCTCGATATTTCTCCCCTCTCTTGGAAAGTCGTGGTAATGAAAGTCGTTATCATTGATTTTTTCTTTTGTAACTGAAGAAAATGGGAATACAAAAATGATATTTGCTGTTGTCCTCCCACTATAGAAGTTTAGACGTCTAAAAAACAAATTCTAAAATTCACAAAACCAGAAGTCGTCATTTTGTCGACCATTTAGCAATAGAAAATACCATTTGCCTTGGCAAAACACCACTAAAAATATGGAATGACCCAGATAACTTGGTCTTGGAAGAGAAATGTTTCATATTTAGACTATTACTTGGTTTTAATATATGGTTTCTTAGTGAATCTGCTTCTTTAGTAAAAGGAAAAACTCCATTTGGTCTCCATTGCCGCATGGTTTTGAATCTGCAGTTTCCATGTTAAATTAAAGCCGAAACCATCACCCACCCATACGAATTCTCTCCTCTTCAGCAGAAGAGATACGGGGTACAGGACAGCATTCATGCAATCGAAACGCAGCCGCCAGGCTCTGATGTCATGAATGCTGAGTGTGTGTTAGTGGTGGAGGCAGGAGGGGGGCTCAGGTGGGAGTGTGAGAAAGCTCATATTCAGCATATGGGCATCTGCTGGGACGCAGGAACCATAATGCACTGGGGGCGCTGCTTACGAGAGACGCCATTTTACATAGACAAACACACACACACACACACGCACACTCGAACACTCTTGCAATGCTGAGCCATCTCACTCTGTTACCTCCGCTCCGAAAAAAACTCAAAAATGATTCTTAGTATTCTTAGATTCTTAGTATGATGTCATTTTGATGTTAGTGGACCCAAAAAAAGACATGAAATCTGGGTCTTATGAAACAGCACCATGATTTCAATGCATAATTAATTTCCAGTGCTTGAATCTAGGCTATGTGCTCATGCAAAAAATAAATAAATAAATAAAAAACAGAGGCTACATCACAGTCTTCCAGTGCACTTTTTATAGCCTATATCGTATTGTGGACGTAAGGTTCTGCAATATATATATTTTTGCTGTCACACAGGTTTATGCAAGATGTATGAGCTGTTTAAAGGGCTGAAGATAGAAGAGAAAAATAAACAGAGGAAGAAGAAAAACAGACTTGAGCGTCTCGCTGCATAGACAGTCATTCAAGGGACTGTGTATGGCATGATTTAATGGGGCTCAAATTTAAGAGGTTTTGAAGCAACATGGGTGCAATGTGACTAGAATATATCTAAGAATAACTGCTGAAGACTTTCATATTATTAGGATCAATTTTGCTTTATTACACAGAACAGATACCCACATCAGAACTTTTTTTTTTTTTGCATTATGCACCATTGATAAAATCATAATCTTACCTTTTAATGTAGTTCTTGCCATAGAGGATTTGCTGCAATAAGGTGACCAGTCCAAAAGCACATATGAAAATAAAACAGAGGGATCTGTTTCCTAGCAGATCTCTACTATATGTCGGATCTGAGTAGCCCATCCTTCAGAAAGAGAAAGCCACGGTCGCTTTTGAACTACAGATCGAGAAGACACATCGAGGCACACCCGCGCGTGTTTACCGTCCTCACAGGCACTGGTGCGCGCTCGGTCTCCATAGCAGCTGCCGTTCGCCTCGGTGTCGCGTTTGAGCAGTCTGCCCGAGCATATGTCAGAGAAAGCGATAGTATCACTGCCAATCTTTTGTATGCGGAGGGGAAGAAATCTCGCATCACCTGCAAAGACGCGACACTCCCGCAGAATGCGCGTCACGAATGCAGAGCGCGCGCAGTCGGTGACGCGCTCCACTCCCTCTCATCAGCACCAATGGGGCAGGGAGGGATTGCAGACCTAGACTGGTTTCAAAACATTAAAGAAAGACGAGGCAAGGCTTTAGGGGACATCAGCAGGATCAATGACTGCAATTACAAGAGGAAGCATGCTCTGCAAATTGTTGGGCATTTGGTTGCCCAAACAAAACGCCATTAGGATAACATAACTGAATAATGCATAAATGATTAACTAAATAAAATAATATAAATAAAATAGTGATACATATATAATGTGATAATAATATAATGAACACAAGTGATAGCTAAAGGTAGCCTAAGAGGAAATAATGATTTCTCATTGGAAGGCCATTTCACATTAGGTGATTATTTTTAACTGACAAACAGAATTGAACTATTTTACTGAAATGAGATGGGACAAAAGTGTCAAAAACTGGAAAAGGAATCAGTGCTTTATCTTTGCGTTACACGTGATATCAGATGATTGCATGGCCTATGAAGGTCATTTGGGATTTTTTAGGGGCAGTTTGAGTCTAGACGTTTTTGGCAGCTCTGTTATTTATGTTCATGGTGGCTGTGAGTCCTTGCAGCTAAAATACCATTTGTAAAAGACAAATCAATAAAATGTCTGGCTTTGTTTCCTGAAGAAAAGGGCTAAGCAACACATTCTATCCTTGCTTTTGTTGTCTTTAAATTAAGCTTAATTGGGCCTATAAATAAATTACCACACCATACCCTCCACCTAAGCCTAACTTTAACAGGAATATTTAGTACAATCTCCACTTTAATATAATAAGACATCATTTCCTTAAGATGTTGTTGATGGTTATAGATGTGTTTGATGCTTCTCATTGTGTAAATAGCATCTAAATCTTGTTATCGTTGTTGGCATTTCTGAGATAATTGATAATTAATTTATCCTTTTTGTGACCAGAACAGCTGCTTATTAGGTTGAAACTACGATTTGTCGTCGTCATTAAAAATATTTGTTGTATCTGTAGGACTCGTTGTTGTGATTGAATGGAGAAGTCCGCAGTGCAACACTAAGGGGGACACATATAGTTGTTGCACCGTAGGAGCGCCGGTGGTGTTTTAATGGAACACCGGAACCTCTTCCGGTCTCTTTCGAATCAGCTCTGAGGAAAGATGGTGAGTCTTACAACGCCTTGCTTTCAAAATCCTCTAACATCTGATTCGTGGCTTGTTTTAAATCACTGTAACATTAATAATACCACAAGCATATTTATTCAAGAGTCAGTATCATCTATTATGTTTGTGATTCCTCTATAATGAGACGTTATAGATGATTTTATTTTTTCGGTTAGCATGAAGCTTAGCATTCCCTACAGTATTAACGAACTCGTGAATTAGCTTTAAAACGATCTTCAGTATTTTTTTCAAATCGTTAAATTGTACGTAGTCTTAATGTATTTGAGACTGTAACTGTCTAAATTAGACCGTAAAGGAACGAGCGTTAGAAACTAACGTTAGTTGTATAGTTATCGTAGTGGTGTGAGTTTACATGGTTGGCCTGTGCAGACATGTTTATTATTTTTATTTCTTTAGAGTCTTTTATGCTACTTTTCTAGACAGCATTTTTTTCTGCGTTTCCTTCCCTAAAGAGTTTATTGATATAGTCATAGTCCAGGTTTCGCTAATATCATTAAAATACATCCATTCTTCCTATACGTAATTGTTGGCTCTCATAGTCAATACTTCTTTAGTTTCCTTCATATCATTATTGGCAACAACCTTGCGAGATGATTTTTTAAACCGCATGTTTAGGAATTATAAATTTAGTGACCTGACTATGTTACATAAACAGTGTTTTTGTGAACTAGTCTCAGAATAGACAATTAACATAGCGTTAAAGCCAATCAAACTGCCTGTTGATGCTGTCTATTTAGTCAACTTGATGTATGAATGAGACCATTTAAGCAATGTGAATTATAAATTACTTTTGTTTTTCAGACGAAGGGTACGTCATCTTTCGGTAAGCGTCGCAATAAGACGCACACTCTGTGCCGCCGCTGTGGATCCAAGGCGTATCACCTGCAGAAGTCCACCTGCGGGAAGTGTGGTTACCCTGCCAAGCGCAAAAGAAAGTGTAAGTTTACAAGTCAAAAGTTTGCACAGTTACAGGTTCAAGCAGCTTTATATCAGTGATAACATTAAAGTGCCCCTATTATGCGTTTCAAATATTGCCTTTCATGAAGTACTATAGTAGCCTGGTAATACCAAACTTCACTTCGTAGACAGAGTCGGGAATGGCATACTTTAAATGTGTTTTCTTTCTCTTTGGGGGGGTTGCTTGTCTGAAGTATAAAATCATTGGTTACCCATAAGCCAATCACAACGCAATCGCCTCTATCTCCAATTTAAGCATCACCTCCATTGAAATTTTTTAACAAACACTCTTGTTCGGGCTTCAGTTTGCAAATGCCGGGAATATATTCTCCACAACAGAGCGAATTGCGTCCCGTATCTTCATATCCGTGGTCGTTTTTGATTTCCCTTACTTAAAATACAGTCTTAAACTTGGCGCTTAGCGTCTACGTCACGGCTCTCAGCCCGCCTTCTGTTCGTTGGTTGGCCGGCTGTTTTCAGGCCAGAGGAATACTGAGAGATCGCTCGCAATCTCAGACTGAGTACAGAAGCGAACTGAAATTGAACAGAAGTATGAAGTCTGACATAATCAGGCTAGTAATATATCTGTTTGTAAATGTAAAATGTCTTGGGTTTTAAAGATCAAAGCGTGTGACATAGTTATTGTCTACTTAAAGATAGAATTGATTCTGAGCTGCTAATTTCTGTCATCCTATTTAATAAACAAGTTTCCATTATGCCAGTCTATGGTCTTCATTGGCTGCCTGTGAACATCTACTTTGACCCTCAAACACTAGTTGTAGCTGATACTGGAAGAGTTTGGTTTGTTGTTGAGAAGATGCAGTTTTCAGCGCTGTGAATTCACTCTGATGCGCATTTAAAGATAAGGACTCAGACATGTAAGAGTTTGACCAATCACAACAGACTGAGCTGTCTGACCAATCAGAGTAGGCTTGTGGAAAGGAGGCGTTTAGAGACTGGATTTTAAAATGAACTGTTTTCTGACTCTTTTGAATTAGATGGTGGAATGTATATGAGGTGGGTTTTTTGTCCTTTGATGCATGTAAATCTATTGCATGAGACATTCAAAACAAATTAGGAACCTTTAAAATGGCTTAAAAGGGGCACTTTAACATTAAAAATTAAGTAAAAGGGAAACTGCAAAAACAGCTGTGTTCTGTCTGGTATATTAACTTACCAGTGATGACCAAAAAAAAAAACAAATGTCTGAACAATTGACTGTCCAGTGATAAGTGTTTTGAACTGAGGTAAGCTTGATGTTGATGAACAGAACACAGTTGCTTATCTGGTCAAATGTGTTTTTGTTTTCATGTGTGTGAAGTAATGATTGTTTTTGTTTGTAGACAACTGGAGCACTAAGGCCAAGAGACGCAGCACCACAGGAACTGGCCGCATGAGGCACATGAAGGTTGTGTTCCGCAGGTTCAGGTGAGTAAATGTGCAACTGAAAACACAATATGCGTTTTGGCCATAGACTGTAAAAAAAAATATGGACAAAGCGTCTGTTACGTCACCCATAGACTTTCTGAAGAACGGGTTTGAGGCTGTCTATGATAGAAATAATACAAATACAAAATGCAAATGTCCAGAAAGGATACAGAGGTGGTATGATGTGTTGTCGGACCATGGCCGAGACGTCAAATTCCGCTCGGCGCAGCCCGTTATCAGCTGTCAAAGTTAACCGCTCTTATTTGTCGTACATTTCATATCTAAATACGATCTAAACTAACGAGTTAGAAAAAAATTCACCCCCCTCACAGTTGTCAGGCACGCGGAACATATTGAAGATTACAATAAAAGTCCATGGGTCAAACTGTAAAAACATGAATTTATGATGTGAAAACAGACATTTTAACCTGGGGTATATTGACATTTGGGACCTCCCTCTAGCGGATTTTCGATGTATTGCAGTTTTTCGCTCTTCCGGGTAGGCTTTATTTTTCAGATTAGAATGTTGCCGCTTGGTTTTGGCTGTTCATTTACACAACCGTGTCTTGGGGGCTGAAAACGCAAGCTTTTGAAAACGATGTCTTCCTGTTGATTTTGCACTGATACTTGTCCAAAACTCAAGTGCATTTTGTCCGGTTAGATTAGTTTGCTTACCAATGATGTCCAAACATAAATGTCTGAACTAATGACTGTCCAGTGATAATAATTTTGTACTGAGGTAAGCCGGACCCATGCATTTATAAATGGACTTAAAACTGAGTTTTTATTCCTCTAACTAGTGGATTTTTGAAACTCTTGTTGGGTGGGGATTTTATTGCATATTAGATATATTGATCATGTTATGAGCTTGTGAAAAATATCTTAGGCCATTTGAATAGTTTTTACATTATCTGTGTGCTGTAATGCTAACTGAAGTATGTTTTCTGTGCATTTCAGAAATGGATTCCGTGAGGGAACAGTGCCCAAGCCCCGTCGGGCAGCTGTGGCTGCGTCCAGCTCCTCGTAAACTGTGTTTCCAATAAAAAGTGATGTTTGAAATGACTGTTTCAATGCCTTATTCATTCTCAAACTATCTGACAAAACAGAATTATATCAATACAAACCAATGTTTACTTGAAGAGAATTTAAAGAGTACCATGGTGAAATTATTTGGTAGTTATTATTAATTATTAGGAACATTATTATTATTTCAGCTTACATGGAAGCTTTAAACAGAGTGGAGACTTTAAACTCCCAATCAGCTGTTTACAGTATAAAATTCTAATGCATACTTCTCACTAGGAAATTCACTGTTGGTTATTTTGTTTGGTTCAACAGCAATAAAATAAAATTTTAAAACTTTATTCAATTCAGGCATAATCTAAATACTCTTTTCTTTGATACAATAATGTGTAGGGTGTCAAAATTGTGAAAACAGTCTTTTCTGAAATCCTCAGTAACTCCATGTTGAGAATCATGTGGGAAACAAAAAAAATAACAAACAGTGAGAAATCTAAATCGTGTAAAACAAACGCTATGTCAATGATCTAAAGTGAGAACAAAGGTGAAGAGATTACATAAATACATTGTGAACAGAACGAACCTGTTTGGAGTTGCTGTGATTGTGAACTTTTTTTTTTTCTTGGATTGTGTGCTTTGACAACATGTGATGTGTTGCAGTTAAAACAGCAAGTGAACATTAAATACACTTAACCCAGACAAAATAAATCGAGACTCTGCTCAACTGAAGTGAGAATGAGAGTGGCTGAATGGAGTTGTTCAGGCTCTAGACCCAGTACTGTTTGGTGGTGATGGGAGGTGCGTGGGGTCTGTGTTTCGGGATGTGGTTCTGAGTGACGTAACTTGGGTCGTAGTAATCCCACTCCAGAGCAGATGCCCAGACTGAGCCCGGGAAACCATCACTGTCCATAGAAAGGATACGCAGAGATACACCTAAATGGACAATTGGGAGAATTTGAAGAATGAACAAACTTCAAATATACACTACCCTACTGATCTGTCAAAAGAATTACAATGTTTTTGAAAGCACCAAATTAGGATATTGCAATGATTTCTGAAGGATCTTGTGACTGAAATCTGGAGTCATGGCTTCTTAAAAAAAAACATCTTTCACTAGAATAGACTGCATTTGAAAATACATTAAAATAGAAAACAGTTCTATGGTGAGAAATAGGAGACTTCTTTCAAAAGCATTAAAAATGGTCCTTATTCTGAACTGTTGAGCAGTAGTGCTCCAATTATATAATCTTAAAGACATGGGTTGAACTTTTGAATACATGAGATCACAAAACTGGCCTGCACTGGCTCCGAAGTCACTGTCCAGTCCAGAACCCCCCGCTGAGGGGCTTGATGACGCCACATAACAGGAGATATCTGGTGGGATGATGCTGGCAGATTCACACTCCACATGGATCTTATCCAGAGAAGCGTTCTCCAGGTCCATGGTGCTGTTTCTACGCATGGAAGTCATCTGCAGTGCGAACTGTAACCATCAATACAGTAACAGTCGGATGAACAGTGGCATGGTGGGATCAAACATATTTCAATGGTAGCAAAACATTACCAAATGAGACTAAAGTAATAGGCTACTTTCAACCAATAGTATAGTGAGGTGTTTAAATTATAGTGCCATTAGGAAAATTAACCATGATTTTACTATAGTAAAAGTTTAGTAACCATACTTTTGCCAATTTTCATAACACCCACTATTTGAAATTGGCAAAATTACCATATTTTTAATTACTAAAGAACCATGGTATTAAACATTGACATCTTAATACTCAAATTAATATTCAATAAGCCCATAGCCTCCATAACATTAACATCTTTCCTTAATACTCAAATGAATATTCAATAGGCCCATAACCACCATAAACATGGACATCTTTCCTTAATACTCAAATTATTATCAATTAGGCCCATAACCACTAGCCTACAAACATTGACATCTTCCTTAAAACTCAAATTAATATTCAATTGACCCATAAACATGGACATCTTTCCTTAATACTCAAATTAATAGGCCTATTCAATAGGCCCATAACCTCCATAACATTTACATCTTTCCTTAATAAAATTAATATTCAATAGGCCCATAACCACCATAAACATGGACATCTTTCCTTAATACTCAAATTAATATTCAATAGGCCCATTGCCATCATAAACATACTCAAATTAATATCCATTAGGCCCATAACTACCATAACCATTGACATATTTCCTTAATACTCAAAATAATAGTCAATTGTATAAAAATGTATCAGGATTCAGAACTGGCAGTTTTTGGACATACTCGTGTTTTTGATCCTACCCCATTTGTAGTCGCACGAAGTGCTGGTGAGTTCGGTGGGACCCTGTTGACTCGCTCCGTGTCCGAATCACTGGACAGCAGCAGAACCGGGGCGCTCTTCCTCCAGTTCGGCACGCGCAGTGACTCGGACCCGGCGTAAGTGGCCCCATCCGGCCGTAGAAACCTGGCGCGCTGCCCGGTGGCCCTTCTCTCCGCCGAGGAGGTCAGGGATGAGGTTATGGGTGGCGCCAGCAACGGTTCCGAGACCGAAACATAGTTAGTCTTTCTGTTTGGAGCGAACAGAGGCTCATCAGAGAAGCGGGTGATTCTCTGGCGGGTGGAATATGAGGAGTGCATGAGCGAGGTTTCCGACCCGCATCGGTCTCTCTTCCTCCGGGTCATGCGGAACAGCTTGTATCCCACAAACAGGCAGTTGAGAAGCAGGAGCAAAAGGACGCAGGGAATGAGCACCAGGATCAGCAGGGTCAAACTGGACACCGGGAGGCCCTCGGGTAAGTTTGATGAGGGCACAGCCGATCCCAGCTGCGACATTTCATCACAAATCAAGATAGATGATGTGATTTTGATGTTTACACAATTTCACCTGAGATCATTAATGTTTTCATGTAAAATATTATGTATAAAATCACTAAAACTGACAGTCGACTGTTGAACCGCAGGTGCGCCCCATTGACATCAATCAATTGATGCGTCAAGAGCTTTCTGGCTTTTCAAAGCTTGAAATCGACAGTTTACAACAACTTTACAGTCTTACCTCATAGATGAGAATGCCTTTGGACTGTTAAGCCCTCTTTTTTGTTCGAAATAGCACAATAATAAAGGTCAATATTACAGGGAGTACTATTTTTTGAGGACTTTCAGCTGAGGTGAAATCAAGACTGATATCTGACTGGGAAACAAAGCAAAATCACCCGGAAAGTTCTGGATGCTTAGGAAAGAAACATTGGGTGAAAATAAGAAATGTAGGCTAAATAATATTAATCTATAGGCTATCATGTTTTTCTACTTCTATTATGTCGCTAAACGTCACTCTCAGGTTTGTGAGACGGAATTGGAAGGATTTATAAATGTAGGCCTATTCAAATCTAATGTTTTTTGCATGTTCCCAATTCATTTAATTCATTTTAAATAAAAACATACAGTAAATCTTGAAATCCCGACTCATGGCCTTGATGTAGCCTAATTATTTCTTAATAAGTTTTTCCTCAGGGGAACGTTTGGTATTTTGTTGGCCACTGGTGTTATTGTTAACTAGTGCTACTTCATAGCACTGAGCTAAAACAGGAAAAGGGCTTAATAAAAATGTAAAAAAAAAAAAAAAAAAAAAAAACACATAAAATTAGGCTACTTGGCCTACCTAAAATTAAAATATATTAATAAAAGCAAATTCAAAATATTATAAGGGTAAATAGGCTAAATAGGCCCTCTACTAACACCGATATTCCTTTGCAGTAAATGTATTGTTCTCACCATGTAACTGATTTCTATGGCCGAGAGAGGGCAGTATAGACCAGTTTAAGATTGTAGTCGTCATTCATTTCCATTAGTTCAGTTGTATGTAAATGCAATCACAAACACAGTACATGTTGTTTCTTTGTAGCCATCAAAGAAATAATTAAAATGTGGCCTAACCTTCATTCCTGTAGACATGATGCCCTTTTGATGGTCCCTTAAGCACTTACATTTATGTCCATTCATTTTGCAGGAACAATAATGCAAAACAATTTACAAGTGAGTAATAATTCCACAGAGAATACCACTTAGGCTGAAAGCACAAATACACAAGCTCTGTAGGTGTTGTGAAATGTCATGAATTGCCTCCTCTGATGTTAGAAGTGAAAAATACATATTTTCTGCATAAATTGTTGCTAATTTGAAAAATACATCTGCACAATGGTGGATTTTCCAAGTGGATGCAATGGTGAGCAAATATTAGATTAACAGTTGGCCTTTTTTTTTAGTTTTTCTAAGAAATATCTATGATCACACTCTTCTAAAAACAGCCATTCTGACCCTGAGTAAGTGTAAGTGTCATTTTAAGCTGCAAGCATGATTCATGGGACACAAACGCAGCTATGACTGACAAGAGACAATGTTCTTCTCACTCACACAGTTCATATTTTTGCACATTGCCTGTGAAACCCAGTCTGGTGAGCTGGAGGATGTCATTTCCAAATATCCCCTTTCAAATATACAGTACACTCTCAGGAACAAATGTGCAAAAATTATATAATAGTAATAATGTGCGCACAAATTGGAAGAAAGATTTGAAAAGAAAAATGACATAAATCATGTTCAAAATCTAATACCATCTCTCATTAGTAAGAAAAATAAAGGACTTCCATGATGAAACCATGCAGCACCGAACCAAAAAAATGTTTGTTCTTTCTTTTCTGCTTTAACAGATTCCAGTCTTCTGCAGAGGTTTTCCGCAATGGATTCTGAAACACGGATGCAGGGGGATTTGCTTTCACACAAGCAACAATGCGGTCAGGCAGTAATGTTGTATGGTGAACGTAGTCTCACAACATGTTCCTGGAACAATATTCCAATCAACCAATCAGATTTGAGGGACAAGTTTACAGTTTATGTCAAGTTTAGTCTTACAACCAGGGTCATTTCACATGTTTTATTAAGGATTGGTTGTAGGTTACTTATGTTTATTTACAAATACAATTTAGGTTTAAAATTTAGCTTAGATTTTGCAGGCAAAAAAAACTTCCTTTGTCAATAGTGTAACGTTAGTTGAAGCTTGGCTAAACAAAGTAGCTTTATGTTGATCAAAGGTGCGAATTCGTCTGGAAAACCCGACTCAAAATCATTTTTTTCCACTTATATAAATTAATGGATTTTGCACGCAAAATTTCGTCACGCATTGGTAAACGAGTCCTGCCTGACCAGATGAAGAGTTCTGCCTGGCCAGAGGAAGAGTTCTGCCTGACCAGACCAGAGGAAGAGTCCGGCCTGATCAGAGGAAGAGTCCTGCCTGACCAGAGGAAGAGTCCAGCCTGACCAGACCAGAGGAAGAGTCCGGCCTGACCAGAGGAAGAGTCCTGCCTGGCCAGAGGAAGAGATCGGCCTGACCAGACCAGAAGAAGGGTCCTGCATGACCAGAGTAAGAGTCCGGCCTGACCAGACCAGAGGAAGGGTCCTGCATGACCAGAGTAAGAGTCCGGCCTGACCAGACCAGAGGAAGAGTCCGGCCTGACCAGAGGAAGAGTCCGGCCTGACCAGACCAGAGGAAGAGTCCGGCCTGACCAGAGGAAGAGTCCGGCCTGACCAGAGGAAGAGTTCGGCCTGACCAGAGGAAGAGTTCGGCTTTACCAGACCAGAAGAAGGGTCCTGCATGACCAGACGAAGAGTCCTGCCTGACCAGAGGAAGAGTCCGGCCTGGCCAGAGGAAGAGTCCTTCCTGACCAGAGGAAGAGTCCTTCCTGACCAGAGTAAGAGATCGGCCTGACCAGACCAGAGGAAGAGTCCTGCCTGACCAGACCAGAAGAAGGGTCCTGCCTGACCAGAGGAAGAGTCCGGCCTGGCCAGAGGAAGAGTCCTTCCTGACCAGAGTAAGAGATCGGCCTGACCAGACCAGAGGAAGAGTCCTGCCTGACCAGACCAGAAGAAGGGTCCTGCCTGACCAGAGGAAGAGTCCTTCCTGACCAGAGTAAGAGATCGGCCTGACCAGACCAGAGGAAGAGTCCTGCCTGACCAGACCAGAAGAAGGGTCCTGCCTGACCAGAGGAAGAGTCCGGCCTGGCCAGAGGAAGAGTCCTTCCTGACCAGAGTAAGAGATCGGCCTGACCAGACCAGAGGAAGAGTCCTGCCTGACCAGACCAGAAGAAGGGTCCTGCCTGACCAGAGGAAGAGTCCGGCCTGGCCAGAGGAAGAGTCCTTCCTGACCAGAGTAAGAGATCGGCCTGACCAGACCAGAGGAAGAGTCCTGCCTGACCAGACCAGAAGAAGGGTCCTGCCTGACCAGAGGAAGAGTCCGGCCTGGCCAGAGGAAGAGTCCTTCCTGACCAGAGTAAGAGATCGGCCTGACCAGACCAGAGGAAGAGTCCTGCCTGACCAGACCAGAAGAAGGGTCCTGCCTGACCAGAGGAAGAGTCCGGCCTGGCCAGAGGAAGAGTCCTTCCTGACCAGAGTAAGAGATCGGCCTGACCAGACCAGAGGAAGAGTCCTGCCTGACCAGAGGAAGAGTCCTGCCTGACCAGACCAGAAGAAGGGTCCTGCCTGACCGGAGGAAGAGTCCTGTCTGGCCAGAGGAAGAGTTGGGCCTGGCCAGACCAGAGGAAGAGTCCTGTCTGGCCAGAGGAAGAGTCTGGCCTAACCGTGACTTTCAAAGTCACAATCTGAATTCTGCAGGATGTTCGGGAGATGTGTGTGTCGTGTTCTTTATCAGTCCACCTGGAAACAAATGCCATGACACCAAAACCCCTCGTGGAAGAAGAACGCCGTTGTGCTTACAACTGTGACGAGCTCTTACCAGAATCAACTAAACGCTGGATTTTCAAAAGTATGTGAAGTCCGCAGCTCCATTGTTGCAGTAAACTTGCTCAACGTTCTTGAATGAATAATTAATTAGATGCACTCCAGTCTGTTTTTGTAGGGACATCAACATTATTGTCATGCCCCTAAACATGATGCAGAAAAAAATGAACTGTAAACTGGTCAATTCAATTGTCATGACACATTTTGTATTTTGAACTCAAGTTAATATGTTTTCAAAAGTTAAACAAAGGAATCTTCCAGTTGAGTTCACACTCTTGTTTTTTTATGGCTGCAGGTTTCTAAGTTCAACCAATTGAATATTTTAAAATGGCTGTTATCTTCTAGGTGTCTGCATATACATCCTGATAAGAACATACATCACTATAGGTACTATAGTTTTATTAATCTTAACTCTCTGATGCATGTTGTTATCAGTATGTATATGCAGAAATCTAGAAACAACAGTGTTTGTCAACCCTGTTTGTGGTATATCTTCAGCAATAATTTTCTTTCTGTACCCTCTCAATACCTGTTGCGTGTTTTTATCTCAGGAAAACTAAAGGTTACGAGAAGGTCATGGGGTCTAAGACCACTCATCGGATTCTGTATGGACTTGGATGACAACACCCATCTGGTGCTTTTTCGCCTTAATATTTGTTACATGCAGTGGCTCATAAGCACCTTCAACACTAGACACATCACACGGTGAGTACTGTATAATAAAACAAAGTATCAGATAAGAAAAAATCTTTATCTTATCTTTTTGTTTCTCAGCACCTACTGTACACACAAGTCAAATCTTCAAACAAAGCCCTATTATAAGCAGGTATGAATATCTCAAATGTTTTGGCTTCTGTCCAGGTTATGATCCCCCACTCTGCTTTTATCAAATAAACCTACGCAAAATGCAGAAAAATGGCAAATATCCTTCTACTGGAATAGTATTTACCCTGCATGTCTGTGATCAGGTAAGAGTGTTTGTATTTTTTCACTTGATGTTTTAGATTAAGATTGCTGATGATATCAACAGGGTTTCTGTAAATAGAAAAAAAGGTTTTAAATAATTTGCATGTGCAAATATAATCTTAATGTAATTCCTTCCAAACTAAGTGCAAATAGCAATACATCTATTTTTTAAAAAAGGTTTGTTTTGTTTTTTGCAGTAGGTGCAAGTAGCGTTAAATTTTAAATAAAACAGTATGCAATAATAAGATATTATGGTTATATAAAGTCAGTAATAGATTCTGCATTATTGGGACATTACTCGTACTTGACATTATCTCCCCTTCATTCAATTATTTACTAGGCACTTTATTTCCACTGTTCAAATATTTTCTTAATCTCTATTTAAAATAAACGCTACTCATAGGCCTAGTGCTGTATGTTCCTGGATTAACATCTTTGTCGATCCTTGTCTGGAAAACCATTCCAATGAACCAATCTGATTTAAGGGACAGGTTTACAGTTTATGTCAAGCTTAGGCTTACAACCAAGGTCAAGTGCTACATCAGTGTTATTCAACTGTCATTTCCCAGTAGCAGTATTAACATAAAAGGAGTAGTTAACTTTAAAAAAAAACTTTTGCTGATAATTTACTCACCCCCATGTCATCCAAGATGTCCAAGTCGAAAAGAAATTAAGGTTTTTGCTGAAAACATTCCAGGATTTTTCTCCATATAATGGACTTCAATGGGAACCAAACGGTTCAAGGTCCAAATGAGAGTTTCAGTGCAGCTTCAAAGGGCTTTAAACGACGACACCAGGCGATATTTTTTTTTTTTTTAAAGTGAACTACTCACTATGCGTATTGGCACATCCGGTCTTCATTGGCATGTGCCAGTGGATAGTGGCATGTGTCACTGACATCATCGCGACACCCTGACACTGACATGACACCTGACTGACACCGAGTCGCAGAACATGTCACAGTCTGTTGTGACAGCTCCAGTAGTGACTGATAGATTAATCTAGCACCTATGTAATTTTGACACAAAATCATAAAACATTTTTTCAAACGTGTTATTTGTGTCACATCTGTAGTTGGTATGTGCCACTGAATGTTTTGTAATTCCAGTGCTACTTTGTGTTGTTTATCTCACAAAGTCACAAACTTCTAGTGTGCGCTCTTCTTTCCCACGTTTTACCACAATAACAAGTGTACAGCCAATCATTCACTCCTTTTAAGTGACCCGTATTAGTGGACTAACGTAGGGAATGGTGATTTTGTATTCAGCCTAGGAAAGCACATGACAGGATAAGGGAATCACATGACAAAATCGGGAAACAAAAGAACCATAACTACAAAATAAAAGACATATTAGTTAGCTAGACTTATTAACTCTAGAGAGCAGCATGGTGAGGATATTTTACTTTCAATATTTTAAAAATTTTAAATGGATTTTTCTATGTTGTTGTCTAAGTGAGATCAGTCATTAACAGACCTTTTAGGGGGGAAACGCTAATTTTACTCAACAATTTTCTTCATACTACATATGGTTTACCATGAGTTACCATGTTCTAGGATGATTTACCCTGATATACTATGTTCAGATATGTTTTACTATGTTTCTAGTATAATTTAGCACAATTTACTACATTGTAGTATGATTTACCATGTTTCTAGTATGATTGACCATGTTTTACCATGTTCTTGCATGATTTACCACGATTTAGTCAAAAGAGCCAGCCCACATCTCTATACGATGTTATGACAGATTATAAAGGTCTTGCAAAATGGTTGATAGGATATTCTGCTTGTCTTGGTAGCCTTACAGTGATCCTGAGAGACTGATTGGTCAGAGTAAAATGAGCCCGCCCACTTGTCTCTATGACACTGTGATACAAAATCCCTATGCAATTTACCATAGTTGGAGTAACCATAGGAGTAACGCATGCATTCCATGGGCCGTCCTACACCATAGTAAGTCAATGGGGCTCAAATGTGTCAGCCTCTTCAAATGTGGCAAATCACACGTTTCTGTGAAATCCTCTCTCTGAGCTATGACTTGTCAAAGTTTGTCGCAATGTTAAGTCTAAGTTTATTAAAGAAAAATAAATAGATAAAATAAGTATGAGCAATAACAATAGTGAGGGCCTTGCCTTTGGCAAGCGTCCACTAATAATGTACCAGCTGACAGGGGGGGTTCCCTGTGTAGTGAAGTGTTTAGCTGAGTTTAGTTTAGAACATGTATCTTATATATGAAGAGTTCAGATGCAAAAGCCTCTAAGTGCCATTTGAAATTTTCTTCTAGAATGATGATTTTTATCAAGCTTGTATATTTAAGTTTAGTGATTTCACTTAAATGGCAATGATAATTACCTATTAATTGTTATTTAAGTGAAATTACTGAACTTAAATATACAAGTTTGATAAAAATCATCATTAAAGAAGAAAATTTCAAATAGCATTTATTTAGAGGCTTTTGCATCTGAACTCTTCATATATCCAAAATGAATCAATAATTATTGGAAATAGAATAAAATCGTGAAAACCCAGCCCTAATAAAAAACACAATACCCGTCATGTACCACATATGTTCTCAGTAAACCTAATGAAATGTTTTGACAATCTCAGTCAGTACACTTTTTCTGATGCATGGTTTTAATAACCACAGTTTTCAGGATCCACATTTCTGAATTACACAGTTAAGAGTTGTATAAACAGGCATAAAAATAAACAATATAAACATATAAAAATAAACAGGCATTAAAACGTGTTAGCTGTTTTATCTATGAAACCGCAGTGATAAGGAAATGACTCAGAGTCAGAAGTCAAAGGTCAGTTAAGAGGAACTTTAGCTGTTCTCTCCAGCCATCCTGGGCTTGGAAACAGCAGAGGCGACAACTCAACGGGACTCTCCTGTCAGCAGCAGGTATGTTCGAAACGCGTTTGTGTTCCATTCAAACAAATTACGTGAATTTAACAGTACATGTTTGTTCGTATTTGATCCATAGGCACTAGATTTGGTGCAGTAACAAGCGGTTAATTGATAGCATATCTAATAGCGGTGTCGAAAGATCAATTGCTTTTATAAAACTGTTATAAAACAATAAAAAAAATATATTAAATGATCGTTAAAATATCCAATTGTTATCAAACATTAAATAATAAAACTGTTATAAAACAATAAAAACATTAAATGATCATTAAAATATCCCATTGTTATTAAACATTAAATTAAATTATTACACAATAATACATTTATTACACAATTTACTCTTCGATCAGTTCCTGAGATAACCACAGTGTGACAATATGCAGGACTTGCAAAATTTGTTCCAGTCAGGCTACCAATTTTGCAAGGTAAAAGATGAGAGCCCAAAGTAGCCCCCCATTAGGGCTACCAAAATCATTCCAATTAATTGCGAGTGGCAATTTGTAGATGAGAGGTAAATCGTTAATCTGCTGATTTTAATAAAGACACCAAACTCTCATTTCACGAGCACCCTTCTGAAGTGACTAAATGGTACATATTGCCTCGTGGACTTGACGGACACGTACATGCGGCAGCCATTGTTAGTCCACAAGACCGAAAGTGTATATGAAGGCTGGATCACAAATGGCACACTTCAAAGGGATTTTGATATTTTGCGAGCCCTGCTATGCCTTCCGACCCACAAAAATACCTTTTTTTATCAGTAGATTGGAGGAGCAAAGATGGGCATGTGGTCCTATATGATAGCTGTCAATTGTGTGATCATAATCTGCATGCTCCTGGTGTTCCAAACCACCGTGGATGAGATCTCTTCAGGCACGTGTGCATGTAAAGACTGTGTCAGAGAGAAGACTAGTGCTTGGTTCAATGAACTCTATGATCTCTCTATTCAACCACTGCTCAACCAGGAAAATTACGTGCTCAGTGAAGATGTCTACGAGTATTGGACGGTATTGATCTTACATTTCTTTAAGCCTTGCACAGTAATGAATTAAAGGAGCTGTATGCAAGAAATTTATTTCAATTAATCATAAATTTTCCCTGATATGTCACTAGACATTAACCTTCAAATGGTCTTCGTTTCCTGTTTACACTTTCGGGGTCTATACGACCCCAACAATTGATTGAGTAATTGTACAAAAAATATACATTTTTAATCATACAAATAATATATCATTTGTTTTGTTTACTTCTCATCTATTCATTAATGCTGTGTTTTTGGAGATATAAAGTACTTTTTTATCCATATACCACACAATTCCTCAAATACACCATTAGCTTTAGCATTAGCATATGAAATGTTATTTTTTTTATGATGAGTTGCATTTATGCTCTATTACTAGGCCTTCATTTCTGTGAAAAAATGTTCAGATTTATGCCAGATTTTTTTTTTTTTTGACACATGAAGAAAACATATTTAGTTTTTTTTCACATTTCCCATTCATTTCAATGTGGGGTCATATTGACCCAAAGACCAGAAGTGTAAACAGTTTTTTTACATACCTTCAGAACAACCGAATCAAGCCCAGTTTTTTTGTGTGTGTGTATAGATAGATAATGTATGAAAAGTCACAAAATCTTATTCCACTGAGATGAAGGGAAATTTTTTTTTGTTAAGTAAAAGTTGATTTGGGTTGTATAGACCCTATGACCCGATTGAGAGCTACGAAATCATGTTCATTTCAAATACTTATATCACTGACAGTCCGGCCAGGATATTGTCATTTAAAAAGTGAAGTCACAGCCCTTGACTGATGTTGATGTTGTCAAGTTGTGTTTTGTTCTGATGCGTCACCCTCCAACGATCTACCAATCACGGACTCAGTAAGGTTGCGGCATTCGGGTTGCCAGCTCTTCTCTAGTTACCACAACTGCAGACAAAAACGTGTCGAAATCGGATAATAAAATTCTAACATTGCGAAACCCCAAAAAACTCAATATGAATCCGAAATGCTTTGTTACATAGTCTGAAATAAATAATTAACAGAAACAAACTCAGTGTGTAGGACTCGTCACTTGCCATTGGAAGCTTCTTGTAGCAGCCTACATTCCTGCTGGAACCTGTAGTAGATCTGGCAACCTCAAGTTATGGGGGAAGGCGGGGATACACCCTAATTTGAAAGTGATTGCAGTACCAGTTTTGGCCACAATCTTGCATACAGCTCCTTTAAGTAACTGTAAAATGACACTGAATCTTTTCCAAAAGCTGGCGAGATGCTATATAGGCAGCATTTTAAGACAGCACAGTTGTGCTCACAACAAACATTTGCTCACATTATTGCATAGGATGTCCCAGAATGCATTATGATGAGCTCAATTAAAGAAATCCATGCAAGATGGTGGACTAATCCGTTTGGTTAGTCATCAAGTTTATTGTTTACCCCATATATGCGTGTGCTATGTATTTTTATTCTTATGCATATCATGTCATGTTCAAAGCAAATTTTATTGAATTAATTTAAACCGAGTTTCTCGTGCTTTTCAGCTCACTAGGTTTTGGAACAGAAGTTCAGTGCAAGTGTGTCAACATTTATTGATTACTAGTTTTTCTGTGAACCTCAAAATACTAAAACCTCTTACATTGATGTCTCTTTTGCATGACGTTCCAGGGCCTTCAGAAATATAAGAACCAAAGCAACTACACAGCAGTGGTGGAGAAGATGTTTTCTCTCTTCCCAGATAAAACGCAATACTTAGATGCTAGTCCAAAACGCTGCAGGACTTGTGCTGTGGTAGGAAACTCAGGGAACCTTAAAGGATCCCATTATGGACATCTAATAGATCTTCACGACTTTGTCATTAGGTAAAGAATTACATATAAGAGAATTTGTTTGACTGTTTTTGTGAGACGACTCACCTCTTTATTTCCAAGACATGATCAAACTGTGTATTTGTTCAGTGTCATTTTTAACCATTAACTTTGTAAGCATTGCAGTCTGCTGTCATTCTTGGCCCAGTAAAGCTTCTCTTCATAAACTAAAAAGACCATTTAAATGCATTTAAATTTGACGATGTAGTCGTTCTGTTTTTACATGATGATCTTTCACATGTTTCTTGACCCAGTCATGCTTTGTTAAACCAGGCTTAATATGGGCCCAACAAAAGGCTATGAGAAGGATGTTGGTTTTAAGACCACTCACCGGATTATTTATCCCGAGAGCGCTGTAGACATGGACAAATCAACTTACCTGGTGCTTTCCCCATTCAAGATTCTGGATATGGAGTGGCTCATCAGTGCCTTCACCACTAAGAACATCACAAGGTGAGAAACCGATAACTGAGCAATGTTTCTCAAATGGCTGATACACTCTGACAAATAAAGGTTCTTTGTTGGAGTTTATGGTTCCATTAAGAACATTCATGGAAACGTTTTATTTCACCAAAGGTTCTTAATAGTGGAGAAGGGTTTACCAGATTATTAAAATGTTCTTCACAATATAAATAAATGAAAAAATAAAATAAAATAAAACTGTTTACCGAAAGGTTCTTTTATTTATCATTGCTGTGAAGAACGAGAAAAAATGTTTGGAACCTTTATTTTTTAGGAGAGTAACTAAGTTGATACTCCAAAAGTGAAGTACGGCATGTTCTTGGATCTACAACCTTGCTGGTCCTGGAACAACATTTCTGTCAACCAATCGGAGTAAATTAAATACTAAGTGTACCAAGCATGTACAACGAATGGGTGTTCAAGACAAGTTTTAAAAGGATAGTTCACTTTGATAGTAATTTTCGGCATGTTTTAGCTTACCTCAAGGGCATCCAAGATGTAGGTGTCTTTGTTTCCACAGTAGTTTCAATTTTGACATTTTTAGGTCAAACCGTTCTTGTCTGTCAGTCATATAATGCAGGTCTATGGTCACCACCTCAAAGAGCATGCACAGAGAAGTCCAAATTAAACATGATTTAATGACTCGTAAATGTTAGTACACATTGATGGCCTAAGACACGAAACGAGCGGTTTGTGTGAGAAAACGAATAGTATTTATATTATTTTTACCTTGTAACCACAGCCACGTCCAAGTGATATGAGGGTGCGGGCGCTTCGGTCTGCACAAGCGCTGGAAGTGATCTCTCGCGCGGTTGCAAAAAAAATTCAATGTTGTCTGTTGATATATCGAAATCGTCTTCCAATGTGATTTCCTGTATATCTAAATATGTTTAGATCTTCACAGTGAAGGGTAACACTTCCGAAACCTCTGTGTAAACAATGAGTGACGTACACGCACGAGAGATCACCTCTGGCCACGTCCACGCCCTCAGATCACTTGGACGTGGCTGTGGTTACAAGAGTTAAAAACAATATAAATACTGTTCGTTTTCTCACACAAACCGCTCATTTCGTGTCTTAGGCCATCAATGTGTACTTACATTTACGAGTCATTAAATCATGTTTAATTTGGACTCATTGCATGCATATGCTCTTTGAGGTGGACCCCATATACAGTACCTCCATTATATGACCGATAGGCATGAACGGTTTGACCTCAAAATTGAAAATACTGTGGAAACAAAGACACCTACATCTTGGATGCCCTTGAGGTAAGCTAAAACATACCAATAAATTCATTTCAAAGTGAACTATCCCTTTAAGTAACAGTCATCATTCCCAGTATTGTGGGTTCCAGCACCTTCCCTTTAATTGACGGTTTAGAGTACTGCAGTGTACAACAAAACTGTTTAAGAACAAATTTGTCCCTTTAGTGATTAATCATATTAATAGTATAAAATGAAGTAATGGCTTTATTATAATGTTCTAGTGGTGAGTGTTTTGTTTTTATTGTATTGCCTATGATATGTATGAGAAACCTAATTTACATACGGGTATAAAATAAAGGAATTTGGTTGTGAATGTATGTTTAATTGATATGTTGTACCAGGACAGCAAAAGATAACCAACAAATTCATCATTTTTTAATGGTACCTCATTTTAATATGTCATTTTACACTTTTTTCTTGTCTTTAGAACTTACAAAAAAGTAAGGCCGAGCATAAGTGCCAACAGACATAAGGTGAGTGAAGTTTTGACATTTTTAACACGCTGTTGAGGAGCTCAGATTACTTGTGTCATTCGTGCGACAGTTGGAAGTTTCACTGTAGAATCCGAACTGCATTCTTTTGACATCTGGATAAAAGAAACCATAGGGGAGAATGACCTAATACACCAAATTGTGTCGTGTTAAAGAATTTTTGGAATTTAGGGGAGCGAAGCTTATTTGCTTCAGGTTTTCACAAAATTGGTTTAGACCAGGGATGTTAATTTACACAATTTACAAGGGTCCGCATCATTACTTAGTGGGGCTAGTTAAAGTGTGTATTATTTTGTCATGTTACACCCTGACATCAGAGACTCAACTCCTTCCATCGCACACAAGGGATTGTTCCGTTTCTGTAGGTCCTGCATTGGTTGGCATTCGCACCGTCAGCTTTTCAAAACATGATGAGCCTTATCTTACATGATTTACCGAACGTGTCAAATTACTTGGATGACATTATTATGGGGATGCATGCACTGCTGAGGAGCTAGAACCATTGCTGAAAGCCGTTCTGCAACGTCTCCGGGATACAGGACTTAAAATGAATGCAGCAAAATGTCACTTCAGACAAACTAGCTTACAATTCCTGGGTCACAAAGTCACAGCGCAGGGTATCAAGTCGGAAGTGCGTAAAAGGTCTATTATTTCCCGTGGTGAAATCGTGGTCTGCACCCAAATTCACCCAAAAAGTGGTCTGTATCGATTCTGAAGCAGGCTCTGTTTGCCCACGTGGACGGTTCGTGCGCATGTGTAGCAGATCCAGTTCTGTACATTAGGATTTCCAGTTTTCTTCAAAACAACTGTATTTATTGACCCCTGAAACATATGGGAAAACTTGATCAGAATATTACCTGTTGCGCCAACCTCTTTCCACATTATAGCTAATTAGACATTCTCTGGTCCAACTAGAGATGGGTCCCAGCTTAGGCCCCAAGCAATCCGATTGGATCAAAGCACGGTTTATGGGTAATCGCTTTAGTGCCTGGTTACAAATCAGAGAAAATCACTTTTTATAGAAGACATTCATGTTGTTTAACTTATATGTTTCCGAAGCTATAGATTGTAAATTTAAACATTTATCGTTCTCAGTGTTTTTTAGTTAGCTTACATAGTAGCATATAGCATACAGCTATCGGATGATCGTGCTGCCCGAGGTTTACCTGAGCTTATGGTGCGCTTACGTGATATGGTAATTATAGTGAAATACCAAAAGCTGACATAGAAAATGCACATGAACACACCCTCATGTGATATTTTCCACTTGCTGAGATGAGATAACCTTTGACCTTTTCAAAATGGCGGACGTGAGAGTCGTGAATGGTAAAAATATCTACTATTCATGATCTAGAAAATATGCAGCATTACCGTTTGAGTTTTGATAAATCATTTTCTTGCTGTTGCAAATGACTTAAGCAATCTAAAATGGTTTAGCTAAATAACAGGTCTGGATCTCTATCTTTTTGCCACATTACGACAACAAAAGCACTCGAACGCAACAGACTGGTAAATACCAGTTCACAAGTGGAAAATATAATATTTTCCATAGCACATGAACGCACCATTATAATGCCTTACTGTATTCACAGCGATTCGAAATGCAATTATTATTGTCATTATATTTATCGTATTAATCGGCGCAATATTTTGTACAAATTTTGTTATTAAAAGAACCATGTAATAATGTTAAGTTGTGTTTATTTTCTTATTAACAGTTTATCCATTTAAATAAATGACAGAATGTTAGCTATGTTTTGTGTGTACTTATTATAAATATGAATTGGTTGTCTAGCCTTGATTACAGAACAGTGTAATAAAAATGACGGTGTAATGTAATCAGTCAAACCCCTTAATTCATATAATAATCTTGCATTTTTATAATGAAAGAAATAGCATTTTCAGGTATGTTTTGCAACATTACGTTATTTTTTATTAAGCAAAAAAGGCACAATATACATTTTTTTAAATGACATGCATTTTGTGTAATTTATATGATTTATGTCATAAATGAATAATACAATACAATAACATTCAATGCAATATCATTAGTGAACCAAAACTTATAGGCTATGAAAATTACACAATACAATACAAAATGAATTCAACTGCATTATGAAATGTAATCAATTTATTTTTATTAACACAAAACTATAAGCAAAATGCACATAATTTTTGGACATTTATAGAGCTTTTTAAAATACAAAGCCGCTTTAAACAGACATACTGCAGTGTAATTTCCTAAATACTCTCTTTATATAATATATATTCCTCTGACTATACAGTTGTTACGTTTCTGGGTAATAGAAAGCGCACGACAAAGGATCTTCAGAGAAACCAGGTATTTAATAGTAAACTCAAGGTTAACATTAAATTTACACAAAGAATAACCGACCCTGAACACTGACAAGAGAGGAACTTAAATACACAGAGGAATGAAGAAAACAAGACACAGCTGGGGCAAAGGAACTCAACACAGGTGAAGGGACTGAGCGGGAAAACTGGGACACAGGACTGAACCAAAAACACTAAGCAGGGGGGGGGGAAACAGGACACACATGTAACAATAGTTTGAAGATTAAAAAAAAATAATGTTGAGTTAGCTTTGTTAAAAATATTTAATGAACTGTAAGGTTAAAGATTTTGAGAGAAAGTTTTTTTTTTGGTCAATCTTGGATTAACTAATGAGACCCAAAAACGTAGATGCAGTGTATTTTGCTGTATGTAAAGTCAAATCTGTAGTTTGAAGTAATTCATATTGTATGTGCAACTCAGTTCTTTCTGGAACCATCCTGAGGCCTAGATGATGCAGTCAGGTGAGACGTGCCGAGGCACCCGAGACTATGAGACGACAACAGACAAACCTGCTATAACGTGCATTTGTACACGCGCAATCATACACTGTAAATGTTAGAAGCACTTTACCCCTGCTGAGGGCACTCCTTTGCAGAGATCCCAACCCTAACCAATGAACTACAAATAACAGCGCCATGTTTTCCCGTTCCATCCATAGAATGACAGAGATATATGGGTAATGTAGTTGAAAGCATTTAGTAATGAAACATATTTTCATATTTTACATATATAACATATCTAAATATGTTCATTGTGCAATCCTTTATGACATATGAGGGATAGTCTGAAATTAACATTTTTTGAGTATACAGCATAACAAATAAAATAGCAATCGATCATCAAAATGCATTTACCAAGTCAACTATGATACAGAAAGCAGATTTGATATTGTGTAGAAAATATTGATTATTATAATTGTCTTGCTCTTCCCTGTACATGTCTGTATCATAATCATGTTATATTGTGTTTTTATTCTTCTAAACAGTTTTTTTTTTTAGTTGTGCCCTAACTGATGAAAAGATGTAATCACTATCGTGGTGTTGCTTTTTCTCAACAAACAGAAAAAGAAGTCATGACATTCCATTGCCAGATGTTCTTCAGTCCTAAAAGTACAACAAAAACACAAACATTTCAAATTAAGTTTAATTGAGAGTTAGGTCAGCTAATGTTCTGCCTGATTTAAATCAGTGAGGCGGGCTACTCTGGCCCTCAGCGTCCACTGTCCTGCAGATTTAGCTCCAACCTTAAACCCACCTGTCTATTGTGTATATATAAGTAAACCTGTGGTTGTATATCAAGCAGGGAAACGTTTGTGTGCATTTTGTTTTGTGATTTCAGCGGAACGAATAGAGTGTCTCCGCAACGGATTGAAGCGCGCGTCCAAGTGAAGACCGTGCGCGAGCCACAAGAGACACTGTATCCGCACCACTGATGATTAAAAAAACAACACATTTTAGCGCTAGATCGCATCTTATTTAACAAACAAACTAAATAAATGCTCTGCTAGTTAAAGAGTTAGTTCACCCAAAAAGGAAAATTATGTCATTAATGACTCTCCCTCATTTCGTTACAAGCCCGTAAGACCTCTGTTCATCTTCGGAACACAGTTTAAGATATTTTAGATTTAGTCAGAGAGATTTCTGTCCCTCCATTGAAAATGTATGTACGGTATACTGTCCTTGTCCAGAAAGGAAATAAAGACATCATCAAAGTAGTTCATGTGACATTAGTGAGTTACTTAGAATGTTTTGAAGCATCGAAATTACATTTTGGTCCAAAAATAACTAAAAGTCTGAGGGAGACGCACGCTGTAAACAAAACAATCATCACAAACATGTCTAAGAATTTCCACACAGAAGAAGACTTGCATTTTTTGCCCAGCCATATTTATTTGAACCCGAATACACGGACACAACAGATACACATCAGCAGTGTCTTACGTCACTCATATCACTGCGGACTCGGGAACACGGCTTGACAACAGAACCGACAAGACAATACAATGCTGAATAAAGTCGTAGTTTTTGTTATTTTTGGACCAAAATGTGTTTTCGACGCTTCAAAACATTCTAACTAACTCACTGATGTCACATGGAGTACTTTGATGTCTTTATTTCCACGATACTGGATAGCATAATTAAATAACTGTACACAAAATGTTGATTCGACTGATATTTAATATTTTATTAGTTTACCAAAGGCAAAACTTCCACAAAGAAATTGTAGAATGTTCAGATTCAAGTATTCCACAGACCCCGGTATTGTCTGTGAAACGTGAGTATAGATAACCCAGGAGTCTGTTTACCTGGGGTTTAGATTGACCCAGGGTTAACTATTTCAAGTGTGAAAAGGCCTAATGGTGATTAGCGCGTGTTGTTCTCGTAGGTGATGATTCTACATCCTGCTTTCATTAAGTATGTCCACGAGATATGGTTACTGAAAAGGGGCAAATATCCATCCACCGGCTTCCTCGCTATTGTATTTTCCCTGCACATCTGTGACCAGGTAATTCAAGTATCCCTTTCATTTAAGTTTTTGGTTATATTTTATTACGCTTTAACCTTCTCTTTTGTACAGGTTTCTACATTTGGCTTTGGTGCTGACATAAATGGAAACTGGTATCACTACTTTGAGAAAACCTCGAGTAAACTCCGTACCGGCGCTCATAGTGGCAGCTTTGAGTTTGACACCATGATGCAACTGTACTTGGAAAACAAAATTCGGGTGTTCAGAGGGAATAAAAAGAGGTGAACAAATTTGTCGTCTATAAGACCTTATGCACCAGAGAAAAGAGGGCGCCGCCATCTTTAGAATATTGTCTTTCCAGGAGGAATCAGCTTTTGAAGTGGATTTACTTAATGTAAAGTTAACGAAAGTTATCACGAGGATTGTAATGTTTAATGTCTTAACAAATGACAGTAGACCGGGAATATTTTTAAACTGTTCATTCATAAATGGGGAAGATCACTGTGAAAATACAGACCGGACGACAAAAGACAATGAGCGTAGCGCTGAAAAGGGGTGGGGCTACATAAGTGGCGAATGCGATGGCGTATTGTTGTGTTTAATGTAGAAATTTGTTATTCTAAAAATTTACATACATTTCTTTCATAGTTTAGACTATGTACTGTACAGTGAAATTTACAAATGTATAAATAAATTTTTTAAAAATATATTCAGAACATAAAAAAAGAATTAGGAACGAACTATAAACATATCCTATATTGGATATGAACATGGAATAGTTTAAATTGTGGAAGCAGCTTCAGGTTGGTAGTCCAAAACATTGTTGTCTATCTGTACTTCCGGGATTCTTCCCACCGGAGCCTCGCTTTTGATTTCAAAATGGCAGCTGCATGAAATCAGTGTATTGCAATGCATTCTCATCCCAAGGCGTCATATACCGACGCTTTTGACAATGCGTATACATCCAACGCACATGGCACCCTTTAGCGTCAATATAACACGCTTCGGTTATGGGTAGGTTTAGGTCTGGGGTAGGGTTAGACCACTAGGAGGCGCCTTCTGACCCATAAATATCTGCGTCTCATATTGACGCTAAAGGGTGCCATGTGCGTTAGATGTATACGCATTGTCAAAAGCGTCAGTATATGACGCCTTGGAATGAGAACGGCTGTCTATTGGGAATGTGGAGTTACGTCATAATCTTTTTACGCAGCATTGCATTGTTGGAAGGCGTCGCCATCTTGGATGGATACGCTATCCATTGCCATGGTTACTTCAACAGTGAGTGTGTGAAATTCAATGTAGTATGCACTCCAGGCGGCTAGGTGGCAATGTGAAGCACTGCCACACAACAACTCCAAGTCCGCGCGCCTGCGTACAACCCTCACTGACTTTTGCGTTTTTACCAAGCGTGCTGTGCAAGCCCTCAAAAGTGAAACCAACTAAACAATTAAATGACACTTCACATATCCTTTATCCAAAGATAGTTTCTGTCATTTATTGTAGTTTCTATCACGTCGATGTAATTTCAAGAGTTTGTTTTTAAAATAAGTTTGTTTTTAGTAAGGGGCCGTTTACACCTGGCCACTTCATGCGTTTTCTGTGATCGGATAGGTATCCGATCGTGAAAAGACCAGGTGTAAATGCCCCCCGAAACGCATTCGAGACGGATTTGAATCCGATCGCTCAAACCACTTCAGGAGGTGGTCTGGACCGCATTCTAGACGAAACTGGAAAAGTGTAAATGCATCTGGTTCTTGAAACCACATATGTAAATGTTACTACAGGGGGGCGTGGTTGGTTGGCGAGTACAAATAAAGTGTGGCCCCTTTAAGAACTGTGCGCTCATTGTTGAACTGTCGCCAGTATGTATTGTATGTGACACCCCTTTTACTGTCTATGCGGACACCCCATGTATGCAGGTATATCATGTTTGATGCTCATTTTTATCTTATTTTGTCCCGACTGCATTACAGTTCTTCATATCCACACTATGCTCAGGGGCATGTCCAACAGATCTGATAATAAATGTTCTGTATATTAATTACTCTCGGATGTGCTCTTGATTAGTTTTTCCTGTGGTGCACTTTGTGCTATACTAGTAAAGTTACTGTTTTCATCTTCAGAAAGGAATCGGGAATATACAGAAGGCTTTGAAACTATTTAAATCATGCTGATTATAAATGTAAAAGCTAAAACTTTGAGGCAGCTACTGGCTTTTAATCAACCACAACATGGCCTCATATAGCTTTTGTTTATTAGCATTCAAATCCACAGAGCAGAAACCCTTTCTGGTGTGAATTATTAACATCGCAAATGATTAATACAGAAAGATCTTCTTTAATCATCTTTTATCTTTTTGAACGTTATTTATATGGCACAGGTGAATAGGGTAAAAACTAGCTAATAGATATCACCATGTTGATTCATTTCTGTACACTAGCTTTCTGAAATGTTGTTTAAATATTCAAATGAGTCATTGCCAAATTAAATATGTACTGATTTGCATGCATTTCCAGAACTGAAATATTCTGAATATATAATCGTTTCGTTTCATTCCATAAATCAGAAAATACTTCAAACCACCTGAACAAATTTTTTTTTTTTTTAATATTTTAGGAATAAAATATTGCAAATGATGTATCAAAAAACCTTAATAGATATAGCTAGAATATAATAAAACTGCACAGTCTGGTGCAAGTGCTACTGAAGTGTAAATTTCTGGCTCAGTGCATGAACAAAAAGTATGTTTTGAGTATATATTGCAAGCAATTAAAATCTACAGACCCAAATAAATAATGTGTAAATTTGATGTTTTCTTCCCACTTGCCCAAAATCGACCCGTGCATGAAAAAACACTGGTTTTGCCTAAACACTTCAACATATTTGTCCCTCTTGTATGTAATTTACTGCATGCATGCATTCTTCTACTTTGAGGACTTAACCCATTAAAGACCACAACACCAAATGCTAGTCATATCAATAATAAAACTTTATTTCTGCTTACAAAACATGCGTTCATCTTACATGCCAGGCAATATCCTAAAGTCATTTGAAACATTTTCTCTGTATAATTTTTACAAATAATTCATTGGAACATGACACAGGGATCTCTCATAGAGACTAAATCACTGACAGTTCTGTACATGAGTACAAGGTCGTCATGGTTAAAGAAGTATGCTAACACTTCAGAGTAGCACCTATGCTCTTCAGTCAGAGCGGTAGGTGTGTGTTCAGTGTGTTTTCCTCAAACACCTCATCTTTGTACCGATCACACTTACGCAGGTATGACATACCTATGTGTAATATGTTTGTGCGAGCAACCCATCTCGCACTTAAGTGTGTGTGTGTGTGTGTGTGTGTGCCTCACAGAGACAAACAGCTGACGTTAAGTCCATCACTGAAATTAGTGTGTTAGTTAACACTGTCCCAAGCTGTGCTTGATGATCTCCTTGCTGCTTGGAGGAATGCGATCTGGGAAAACCACTTGGAATTCAACCAGTAGGTCGCCGCGCTGGGCTGGGTTTTTGGCTCTGGGAAGACCCTCCCCAATGAGCCTCCTCAACGAGCCGGGCTTGATTACATCACTGCTTGGCAGGGGCTTCATCTGTCCGTCCAGCGTAGGAACGTTAACCGTGCACCCACATAGAGCCTGGAGGAAAACAAAGAAAGAAAAACGTTAAGCATTGTGTCACTGGACCTTCTTTGGTCTATATCGATCCTCCAGCATCTCTCTTTGTCTTGAGGTAGGATCTGTTATATCACACACTGCAGAAGAGCTATAATGCCCCTCCGGCATATTGTGGAGACTGAGGTCTAATCCACTTGTCTATATATGATGCTTTTACATAACACGAGTATGAACGCGGGCGGAATATAGGCCAGACGGATTGAACATTACTGTTATGCAACGGCAGAAAAGAGCTGCTAATCGCTTTCATTTCTCAATGATTCTCCAGTCTGCGGGGGACGAGAGGTGTGCGTGGGAAGAGAAACATGAAGTGGATGTGGGAAATGAGAGAGCGAATGAGGGCGAGAGGTTCTGTGTGGAAAGAATGAAACGGTTGTTTTAAACATCCGGTGCCAAATCTGACATGTAGAGAGCAGGATGACCGATTTAATGACCACTTATGTTGATCACAAGGCCAATCATTTTAAAATGGCAAAATATGCTAATTAATTGGCTAATATTAGGCCATTTTAAGATTATCGGCATCAATGTGCGCTTGGTTGTTAGCGTAAAATGTCTTCTCTAAAAGTCAATGGACTTTTCAAGGGATAATGTATTATGATTTGCTTTTTTTTTTGTACGTATCACCATTAAATCAGCCAATCTGGCACAGTTATCAATGATGATAATCTACTTAACAGAAGTGTCTAAAAATGTCAGTTCCAAGGGATAACTAACCATTTCTACTGTTTAAGTACAATTAGTGCAAATTTCACTCACATTTTCCGTCGTGTTTATATATTCTCATTATATCCGCCACCCTGCTCTCTAGGTATCAATATGGGTCTATTCATAGTGAAGTCTAAGAAAATAGATGCATGAGGGCGTAAAGGCAAAATCCAATCCACTGCTAGAGAGGAGCGAATGACAGAGTGTGTGTGAGACGATGCTGAGAGGCGAGGAGGAGGTGTGCGAGATGGGAGGGGGAGTGTGTGAGAGTGTGTGCACTGAGGCTGCGGGGGAGTGATGCTAAATTTAGACTCGGCTCTCTGCAGAGGCTTATTGAGTACCAGCGACTGCGAGGGAACATTTCGTACTGCGGCGCACACGTACACACACATACACATCTCACCTCTCGCAGCGTGATGGTGGTGGTGTACACAACATGCGAGCCGTCTCGTCTGAAATGGGCGTGCTTCTTCTCCTTAACGACGAAGGCCAGGTCGTTAGGGGCGTGGCCGAGCATCTGATGGCCCTCCTTGGGGAAGGTGATCCTGGTGCCCTCCTTCCACCCCTTCTTGACCTCCACGTCGAACACGCGCTCCTCCGGTCTCAACGTGTGTTTGTCCGTCTGCCGGAGGCGGGTCACCTTCACGCGCTTCGTCACGCCCAACAAAATGTCCTCCAATGACACGAGGATCTCGTGAACCTCGGCCACGCCCGCCGGCTTTAGCCCGCTCTTGTTACGGCTGAGGTGGGGAAGGGGGTTCCTCATGAACGGGTTGAACAGGTCTTCGTCCGAGTCGACTTCAAAGTTGAAGAACATGTGCCAGGAGTGGGCGTCGGCTTTTGAGGTGCTGTGGGAGGAGTCACTTTTGTTCCCAGCTGGAGCCACACCCCCTTTGGTCAAACCTGGAGGAAGATGAAAAGCTCATATTAGTGTGCATGTCATGAAATCCCGCCTGTTTTTGGAAGGGGTTCATTCTCCGGTTAATAAAGTATGGATAAATAATTGATCAGTCAGTGTGATGAGCGTGTGAATCGGATTAGCTGAGGTTGTTGGAACCCGCTGAACTCTTGCATTGTGCAGTAATTGCATTTTGACATGCAAGTGCATAGATTCTCACCTTGTTGATCATAGATGCTGCGTTTCTCTGGGTCGGTCAGAACATCGTGGGCTTGTGCGATCTGTTTGAATTTGTCCTCTGCGTCTGCTTCTGAGTTCTTGTCTGGGTGGTAACGCAGCGCCAGACGCTTGTACGCCCGTCTGATCTCCTCCTCATTAGAGTCACTTGACACACCGAGCACAGAGTAGTAATCCACACACTGTGGTGAGGATGGGGGCTAGACACCTCGGGTTCTTCACGCGGCTCCTACAAGCACACAGACAGATGGCAGGAGTTTAGACTACGCTCATTTCTAGTTCTCCTTTGTTAATATGCACAAGGTGATTCCAAATAAAAAGACGAAGTTCATTGGTTTAGCAGGGATACAAGCACCATAGACAATGAAGGGTGTCTCCCTAATACTCAGTGACAATGATTTTTTTTTTAATGACCAATTCAGTTCTTTTTGTGAATATTGCACAAATAGGCAGAAAATAAACTTAAAAGAAAATTCAAAAATAATACTTTTTTGTGGTTTAAAACAACTTATAAATTATTAGTAATATTAATCAATATATTAAAGTATAATCATACAATATTTCATGTAACAAACGCATTGTATTTCGACTTATAAAATAATAGTTCTATATTATCCACTATAAAGTTGTGCACAAATGCACATATTTTTTAAATGTCTCAGTTCTCTATTATTTAATGTACACTCAATGTTTTGGGGTGTATATTATATAGTTATATATAACAAATTATAAATCTATACATGTCTACAGTATATTCCTCACTATGTAACACAGAGTGTTTATTATATAGTAGAGAAAACAGAGGTGTGTATATATATAAAAACATCCTCTATATTCTCCAATATATAAATCTATACATTCACATTATATTGTAGGTAATATAGATATGCCTCTGTATTCTCCATTATGTAATAGTGGATAATATAGAGGTATGGACATCCATAGGTAAATAGATTACTTCTATATTCCCCACTATATAATAAACACCAAAGTCTTTATATTATATAGTGGATAATATAGATACATGCATATTTGATTTACATATAAATGTGCAGGATCTCACCTCCGGGGTCCATCCCTCCTCTCCGTGGATGACTTTTACTTTGCACTTGACATTCTTGTGTTTGACGCCGAACTGAGTCCAGATGAGAACCATGATGCTGATGCTGTTGCTGCCGGTGAGTGTGAGCCGAGCTGTGACTGCTTGAGCTGTGTCTGCTGCATCTCCCGCCGGTCTCCTCGAGCTTTTATACCCGAGCTCTACTCACGGCGCCCACGCTTCGTGACCGAGCTTCCCCGAACACGCCCATTCTCAGTGTACACGAGAGGGAATACCGCGTGCCCACCAATCCACGCTCGCCTCTGCTGCGGAATAAGATGAGCATCACGCGGATGTGGCAGCCCACCTCTCCATGTGGAGGATCGTTTCCGGAATTCACAATGAGTCTCATTTCTCCCTCCCTCCCTCCATCCTTCCATCCTTCCATCCTAAATTGGTCCCCTGTTACAAACTGTTCTTTTAAATTGACGACCAGCATTTTGGGTTATTGATGTGCCCGTCTCCACCAATTTCAAAATCAAACCTACGCCACTGGAAAGTAGTGGATGATAATGAATTTTATTTATTTATTTATTTTTGATAGAATGGGAGTGACAAGTATTCATATGAAATGTGGGAATGATAGCAAATGAACACGAAAAAATATGAATATTTAATATGTTTAAATAAATAAAGTACAAGGCGAGTTTGTAAGCAACTTTTTAATAAATTGTGTATTTTAGTTTTACCTTAACCCTTTATTTAACTTGCTCAGCTCACGTTTTTATAATTGCCATTATGTGAGAGCGTTCAAGAGAAAATGTCACTGTCTGACATTGTTCCGTTTAGTGTTAATTAGCATTTTAGAAATTAGGCTATATAGGATATTTCATACTAAGAAAGTTAGAAAGTGTCGATATGCTACTGCCCTGTGTTGTATATATTGTCCTCTGAGGCGCTTGAATGTCAGTTTTATTATAAATGTCAAATCATGTTTGATGCTTTGAGCAAGCAATAAAGTCTTATTAGCTATCATTTGCATGCACTCTATTTCTCTCTCTCACACACACACACACACACACACACTTCTGTGTCCCTCGTGTCAAAGTGCAATTAAAACAGATGATAAAATACAGCCAGAACCGCTTCACCCACACATGCAATTACAGGCAATTAACGTGTGATAGGCTGGTGCATGGCTTGTGTACCAATAGTTCTTTTGTGCTCGTCACGGTGACAGCTCAATGTTCCCATCACTGCGCAGGAATAAAACTGCGCATTCACGATCGAGAGCACGTTCACAAACTGTATTCGGCGTTCATGAATTAAAGCGGAGCCTTTGGGGATGTCGCATTACGCAACGTACGTGCAGGTGAATTGGCTCGCATTCCTCGGTACATAAATGGTCATATTTCCTCAGACGTTACGCGTTCAGCCAATCACAGACGAAAGATGCTTTAGGATTCCCGCTGGTACCGGAAAATTGGACAAATTTGGTGTAGATGTCCCTGTCAGAAACGTCAGAGAACCTCTTAGCCAAATTTCGTCCATTTTGGACAAATAGAGAGAGGTTGCACAGGAAAACCGAGCTGAGTGGTTTGAATGACACCTCGAAATCTGTCATAATAGACCGACCGGACATTTCCGTTGTGTCTCGACTCTCGACAGATGAATGTGAGTAAAGGCGTGTGAGATCGCCGAGAAAATGTTTCTGGGGAAACTGGGAACATTGTGCTAGTGCGGTGTCGAGGACGACCAGGGAACATTGCACTTGTGCTATGTAGAGCTCTGCAGGGGATCGTAAGAAGTCGTGATCTCGTGCTTTTAATAATAACTCGCTCGTGACCAGCGGAAGCCCAACGTGCTGTGTAATTTTCGCGCCCTCCTTTCAGTGGTGGCGACGTCTGTTTTGTCGCGCGCTCTGGACATTATGGACCTTATTTATTAACGTCGACTTAATGACTCCTATATTATTTCTCGGCTAAATTAGAACCTATCTAACAAGATCTGAGCGATTGAGGGATGTACACTTAGTTAATTGTTGTCGTCTTTAAAAAAAAAAAAAGATTAGCTTTTTACATTTAAGACGTAGGCCTACATTCATTCACTGTACTTGACTGTAACACCTAACAAATACTAGATTTGGTAATTTTCTGAAGAAAATGTGCTTTTTTTAGCCTATTGCTAAGTGGTTTCCGTCACAAATCAAAAGAACCTATCCCAAAATTATCCATTAAGGTTTTGTCTAGCTGGGATTTTACCAATTTTATTGTCCTTTAGGTGAAAATAATACATCTCATCACTTGGAATAGTAATAGCACCTCTCCTCAATAAGATACCAAAATCAAGGTATTCATGTTTGTTAATGAGTTAAGTTACATGTTTAGAATAAAACACTAATCCTGAGCATGAATGCTTGTAAAACTATTAGCGTATTAATTAAAAATAGAAAATCCAATGTACCGTGCTTTTTGGACACCATGGAAATGCCAAAGTACCAGAGTGACAGGAAAATACAATGGTAGGCTATAATGACACCATCACCATACCATAATAATACCACAGTACCTTTTTACTAGTGGAATAGTAAAAGAACCACATAGGCCTATATGATTTTTAGAAAATACTCTTTCTGTCTAACCTTTTCCTCTTTTTCCATATTGTAGGAGAAGCTATGTGTTGCAGGGGAGTGATATTCACAGGTTCAGTTCTTCCTACACCATCTTCTCCTTCTGTGCTCACTTTTTCTCTCTCAGTCTCTCTCAGTAAAGGTTACGGGGGTGATTCATAATGAGTAAAGTGGCATTTGACAGCAGCTCTCACTTCAGATCCATTTCAAGTCAGATTAATTTGGTTGTGTAATTATTTTCATAATCAACTGCTTTGTTAATGAATTCAGCCAAGATTGGTTGACAGACTGAGTGATTGTCTGAACAATATTAATATTCAAATGCGTAACAGACATGAGACAAGGCAGAGAACTAGAAGAGGGAACACAGTAATGAGAACTGACTGTTCTAATAGCTAGCAGCAATAATCAGTGAATGTAAAGGCCGTACTGCCATCTGCTGACCATGTTGTTTATATGTTCTGAACAGTCTAAGCTTTTTTTCCTCCTTCAAACTCTCTAATAAAACAGCTTCCACATAAGGAGGAATGTGAACGGAGGCACGAACTGCTGAGGTTAGCATGAGCTAAGAGCAAAAACAGCAGGAGAGACTCTTGACTCTCGCAGTTAATTCACTCTGGCTCTAATGCTGCAGAGCAAACCGCCTCTAAAGAGCCTAAAAACCAACTTAAATTCTCATCAAACATAAGCTTGTGGTCCAAACCCTAGAGGGCTGCCGGCCAAAACAGCATTTTAAAGCATCATAGGCATGTTGTGATGTTCCAAAACGTAGGAAACACAATTAAGATACCTTTTAGCTACAGTGAAGTACACACAAAACTTAGTCAGATGGATGTACAGAAGTCATACATAGGACAGATTGACATCAAATATTGTAGCATCTTTTGAATAGATTCTTTTATTGGTGCCAGACATGAATATGAGACTCCAAGTTTAGGTTTACTTATCTTTTATCATAATGTGTCATCCTTTCTTGTAAATGTTCAATGAATGTGATGCTAATCTACTTGCATTCTAGGCAGGTAGCTGAGAATTATAACTTGAAACTGACTGATAACAGGAAATAATGTCCATCTCATCTAAATGTAATATGATCTAGCTAATTTGCTAAAGTTTTTTTTGACCTAATAAACAGTAAAAAAAATGGCATACACATTGTGTATACACGTATCCCAATTCTACACACACACATTGTGTACAAATGTGTTTCACACTTTCAGAGACACACATAGGACTGTGTGTTATGGTGTGTTAGTATAAACATAGCATTATGGTAATTATTTACAGGGGGTCCATGCCATGTTGTGTACTGAACTCCTGGAAGTCCTCTGGAATGGTGTCTGGAAAAGAGATGATGGTAAAATACTATATGATAATTGCATAGGTTCTGTAATAAGTTTTAAGCATATGGTGTGAGTTTATATTTGCTTTTGTGTACACTACCATTCAAAAGTTTAGGTAACATTAATTGAAATTTTATAAACAAATTGAGTGAGTTTCATGCATGCTTGCTGAGTTAAAGTATTAATTTATTTGTTTTAATTACGTTATTTGAACAGTTATGGATACGTTTATGCTTCCAACTTCAGTGTATAACATGTTTGTGTTCTCACCATTGCAGCGGTACTTCAAGTTTGACCAGATGATGTTCTCCTGAGAGAAGCAGAACACTCCCAGTCTTCCTCCTCTCATTGTGGTATCAATTGTCACCCCAGAATCTGCCACCAGCTCTGTACCCTCATAGAAACGAACCCTAAAAACACACATACTAGTCTGTACTGACTCATCTTGTTTTTTTAACACTTTTCTTTCTCATTTGCTAGCTTGGCTTCAATTTTGAGTCACCTGAATTTTGATTAGCTCACCTGATGTATCCGACTTGTGGGCGGTGTTGCAGGTACCAGCGGTATGATACCTTATCCTTCCAGCCAACGTTCCTTGGATCCTTCCACAGGAGACGCACCTGATCATTAGTGTCACCTGTATGCCAGAGTGAGTTCCTCAAATGCTCACCTGGACCAGACTTGGACTTCACTGCCTGTGAACGAGAGATAAAGATTAGTTCTTTTAATTCTGAAAGACTTTCTCACACATTTCAGTAGCACCTCATTGCAGTACACGAGATCCAGGAGGCAGAGTTGGATTCAGATCTCAGGGGTAGAGATGGGTAGGATTAGGGGTGGGGTTAGGGATCAGGGGGTGGAGATGGGTAGGATTAGGGGTGGGGTTAGGGATAAGGGGGCTGAAATGAGTAGGTTTAGGTAAATGTAAGGTGGGAGGAGTTGGATCTGGATTTTGTGTTCTGCATTGAGGACCATCTCACACATTTTAGAGATCATATATTATATTATGATATAAATTATAAATATAATAACAGATATTATAAAGTTGAGCTGATCGACCTTCAATTGAATGCCAGGTTCAGCTACGGCTCTGAACGGCGTGGCCTGCCAGTACGTCTGCTCCGTTTGCTTCCACATCACCACATAGAAACTAGAAGAGTCCTGGTATCCAAAGATGAAGCCGGCATAGTCGTCATCAGTCACCGTATTCACGTGGAACGTTCCCTCGAAGTCAACACCACTGAATGCAGTGTAACCTGGTCGTCGGAGAGGGGAATGGTGTCATTCATGTTAATAATCAAATATATAATTAATCATGATGGAAAAACATGCATCCACTCACCAACAGCAAGGCCTGGATCACTGTTCATGGTCTGGACAATCTCCATTCCCTTTGCAACAAGGCAAAGAATTTGTCAGAATTGTATGTCTCAAACACAGTTTTCTGTAGAGACATAAAAAATGATATGTATCTTTTGCTGTACCTGGTTAAGAACCACCCAGTTGGGGTCAATCTGAGCATCACCCTCTGGGTCCAGTACAACTGTCTGATAGGCTCTGAAGTCTGTCAGCGTGATCTCTGCATTTTCTGGACAGTTATCGATCCTGTCGATTACCTTGTCCTGGTCAAAGTCTGATTCGCATATGTCGCCTACTCCATCATCTGTGTAGAAATTAAAACAGGTGAGTGAGGGATGATTGTAATACGATTTCTGTATGTTCACTGCATTAAGTACAAAACTTTCTGTGAATAATGGGATATTTTTATCATATGGTCCATATAGGTATCATATGGTCGGTGATAACAGAATAATGTACAGTGCATGCTGTGTCTATGTAATGATTAGTGGTGTACTCACTGTTGTCATCTATCTGGTCAGGGTTGGGCACTAACCGACAGTTATCTGGTCCAGGAGGCAGCAAGTCAGGAATGCCATCATTATCATCATCATCATCACATTCATCTCCAAGTCCGTCTTTATCCGTGTCTAGTTGGGAGCTGTTAATTACCAGTGGGCAGTTGTCCTTACTATCTTGGTGACCATCACCATCACTGAAGATACAAAAAATGATAATTCATCTTATTGGTGTAACAATGAAGAAACTGATATGCAAAGAAAACCACGTCTCTGTTGCATGAATGATGGACTTTTTCATACCTATCTTGGTTTGTGTCGCAAGAGTCTCCAACAAGATCATTGTCAATGTCAGACTGGGAAAAAGACGATTGAATGTTAGTATTAAATTATTATAGTTAAAACAACAGAACAGTATATGAGGAATATTTGGCTGTCTGCGAATAATGTACCTGATTGGGATTTGGGATGTCAGGACAGCTATCGCACGCATCTCCCACACCGTCCCCGTCACGATCCAGCTGATCACGATTTTTCACTCGCTGGCAGTTATCCAGGAAGTTTTTGATCCCTGACGATCAATAAATCCAGACACCACAAATGGAAATGACCAATCTTTTGTTGGAACTGAATCATCAAGACTTTTAGATGTACTTCACTGTGTGTGTATGTGTATGGGTATCTCTTACCATCTCCATCCATGTCGTCATCGCATGCATCTCCGAGGCCATCAGAATCGGTGTCTCTCTGGTCTGGGTTATCCACTCGGACACAGTTGTCACATGCGTCACCATGACTGTCCTTATCACTGTTCAGCTGATTTATATTTGGCGTCAACCAGCAGTTATCCTAAAATCCATACATTCAAAGCATAAGTAACCAGAGATAGAAATGCAAGGTAAGAGAAATTAAAAGGAATAATAAGTGTGAGATTCTGCAGTGCATTAACATAAACAATCACGGCATGAATGTGTGTGTGTGTGTGTGTGTGTATGTTTGTGTGTTTACCTGCTCATTCAATATTCCATCTCCATCTGCATCTGGGTCGCATGCATCACCTTTCCCATCGCCATCTGCGTCCTCTTGACCCGAGTTTGGAACGGTAACACAGTTATCCTGGTGTTGAGGACAAAATATGAATCATCTCTCCCAGAGACAGGCAAGTAAAGTCACCAGAACCCTTAGCAAGTCAATATCGATTGCATTGTTGCCATAATTACCTTTCTGCAGGTTGGGTCGCGGCAGCGCAGTTTCTCATCAGGGTACCCGTCGATGTCAGTGTCTTTACCGCAGAGATAACCATTTCCAGCCCATCCAATGCCACACTTTAGTAAACACACACACTCTTAGCATTTGCCCTTGAGCATAATGGCTTTTTCATATGTGTGAATGTGTGTTTCAAAGTACCTGGCATGTGATGGTGCCATCTCTCTCCTCTATGCACTGTGCATTGGGGTCGCAAGGGTTCTGTAGACGGTTTGCACAGCTTTTCTCTGGCTTGCAACCTCTGATCTGGTCACCTGTAAATCCGTTCTTACATCGGCCACATTGATATGATCCCTACACAGATCATAACATATATAACACTTTAAGGTGATATTCTTTTGCTTTGCGACTTATGATGGCACTTTGCATCATAGAAATGCATTATGAACGTGTCGGTTCTCACCACAGAGTTCACACAGATGGAGTTGGCGGTGCATCCTCCATTATCTGGTCCTTTACACTCATCGATATCATCACACACCTAAAGAAAATTAGGAAACGTACATGGCTTGTCACTCTATTGTGGCTGTGCATCAAAATATCAACGGCAAATGGTCCTTTTTTTTAAATGCCTGAACTTTTCGTTACAACATATGACATGCCAACATGGCATCATGACTTTTGCGTAAACATACACACCACTTTCAAGTCAAGTGGCGTGTTATCTATGCGCATTTTGAGCTATCCTCGTGTATGTCTACGCCATTGAATGTCCGAGTGATTCCACGTGTATGTACACACTGTTAAATGTCGGAGTGAAACGAAGCAAAATGTAGATCTATATCTGGGGAGTGATATTCTTTTTCCTATAGGATGGTAGGGGAAGACTCATAAATGATATTAACCCCAGTGACGGTTAGGTTTAGGGACGAGGTTGGAGTAGGTCATATATTTATATATACATTAATGTAACGTTAAGTCAACGGCATTCATAAACACGCTGAAAAGTGATTTTGCGTGTTGATAGCATGCCAAAAATGGAAATACGAATTGGCGCGTCATACATACGCCATTTCATGAGATCACTCTGGACATGCACACTGTGGCGTTGGGGGATTGCTTTATCTTTACGCTTCAATTTACATAGAAATTGAATCCATTGGGGAACATTGCGTTAGCTCCAATACATCAGTGATATACCTGCTTGTGCGTTTGTGCATAGGTCACACCAACACCCTCCAATGGTTTGCCAGTGAATCCAAGAGGACATGCCTCACAGCGGAACCCTGGAGCCATGTTCACACACCTCACACCAGGGAAGCAGGGGTTGAACTGGCACTGCAAAAGACAAAGAAATGCATGGCAATGTCATGCAGTCAAACAAGATTAGTGCTTCGACATATGAGGCAGCTGCGCCTAGAGTTTGAATTCTTGCTCATGGCCCTTTCCTCTCCCATTCTTAAACTGTTTAACTTTATAATGTCCTATTAAAATGAAGGTGAAAAATTCCATAAATGTAACTTTAACAAAACTGTCTTAACGGGTTAGTTCACCCAAAAATCTAAATTATGTCATTAATGACTCACCCTCATGTCCTGCATCATCTTCGGAACACAGTTTAAGATATTTTAGATTTAGTCCGAGAGCTTACTGTACCTCCATTGAAAATGTATGTACGTATACTGTCCTTGTCCAGAAAGGAAATTGACAATAGAACCGGAAGAGAATACAATGCTGAATA